ATGGCTTGACCGATTTTTATTAAGTTGTTTATGCATATTCAGTAGATCTGAGAATTGACTACTGTCTATTTTTTATACCTCTAAGTGATATGCATTGTCCATCCCTAACGTTTTATTTTTATGTTTTGGACAAAACTTTTACTTTTTATAATGTGACATTAAAAACACATACAACCGTAAAATTTCACTCTTCTACCATCAACTCTTAATTTTTAATAGCGATTTTAATTTACATGGCAAAACTAACTTTGCGGGGTCAGCTAGTAATAAATATATAACACTAACGAGTTAGTTGTAATTTTTTTCGGATGGTGACCGCAACTGGCCTCTATAGCTTCACCGGACAAAAGTGGAGCGAGCACGCCTAATCCACGGAAGGAAAATGAGCCCGAGGAAGTCTGGAGTAGCTGAAGAACAACTCCTGCCTGTCGGATACAACATCAGCCTGAAGGCACCGCTAGGAGTTCGAATCTCGACTCATGTAGTTGTAAATTACTTTTCGTATATTTTGCTGTAAGAGTCTGTAAGAATCTATTTGAACCTTCATGCATATTATTTATACCTATTAATATTGTCAGACCCGCGCCTGAGTCCCATTTATCTTATTACGACCCATAGAAGAGGAACATGAATCCAATATTAAAAACAAAATTATAGATCATATAGTCTTCCTCGATCTATAGGCTATGCAATAATAAAATGTATTTTCAATTTGAACCAATATTTTCTGAGATAGAAATAGGTCGTTTAGGTCGTTGAACTGGACAAACTACTTCTTCAGCTGCATGTTATCACGGTTTATATTATAATACTAGCTGACCCCACGACTTCGTTCGCGTGGAATTTAAACTTTTTTTTTAAATAAAAGTAGCCTAAGTTACTCCTTATTACATCAGCTTCCTGCCAATAAAAGTCCCGTCAAAATCGGTCCAGCCATTTCAGAGATTAGCGGGATAAACAGACAGACAGACAAGAATTGTAAAAAATGTTATTTTAGTGTATGTACCGTATTTATATATCATATGCATATAGTACAAAAACGATTATGTCAATATTACAAACAGACACTCCAATTTTATTTATATGTACAGATAATATTAGTATAGATTATTAATTTCCTTTTTGTGCACTAAATATTACTATAACTTAACCGAATCAAAACTATGAGTTAAACAATCAATCATCTTATAACGAATTTTGGTACGATATTTTCCTTGAGGAAAACGTTAACCAATGGACAGGTTAAGTCCCCAATTTAACATATAGCACCTCCTCTATAGATGCAACTAAACAAATATATGTATAAAACTAAACAAATATGCTTATATATTTATATTAGTATCTGTATATAACACTATAAATTTAGAATAACTGATAGTTATTTTTATAAATATGTAAACACATACATAATGTACCTATATAAAAAACCCCAAATCTTGTATATAAAATTCTCGTGTCACAATGTTAGTTACCATACTCCTCCGAAACGGCTTGACCGATTTTTATGAAATTTTATATGCATATTTAGTAGGTCTGAGAATCGGCTACTATCTATTTTTCGTATTCCTAAGTGGTAAGTGGTTGTCTATACCTATCATTTTTTTTTATTTTTAGGACTATATTTTTATTTTTTATAATCTAGCATTATAAATACATACAACCCTAAATTTTCATCATTCTACCACCAACCCCTATTTTTTAAAAGTGCTATTAGTACCTACATTTATATTGCAAAACAACGTTTGCCGGGACAGCTAGTAGTAATATTTTTTTATTTATTTATTTTATTTTCACACTTACATCTATTTTTACAGGTCTTAGCCATGCATGCAGCAAACATTATTTTTTTAAATTAATTGTAACTTATAATAAATAAAGCGATCTTCGTAAACTCATTCAGAGAGCAAGAAAATAGATCTATTTGCTCCGTTATATGATTTAATGTACGCAATGCTCTTGTGACCGCACTTGCACACACACACACACACACACACACACAAACATATAAGGGCTCATGAAGATAAATGTTTGTATTGTGTGGTATTGAACGAGACACGAACATAGATAGGACGGTGGTCATCGATATCCTCAATAAATCATCTAATATTACAAACGCGAAAGTTTGGGAGTATAGATGGATTCAGAGAGATGGACGGATGTTTGTTATTCTTTCACACAAAAACTACTAAACGGATTTTGTTGACACTTTACAGTAATATAGCTTGTACAAAAGAATAACACACAGGCTAGAAATTTCATGCAGGTAAAACCGCGGAAACTGCTAGTAAAATTATGAAATTAACGTGTATAAGTGGTTGAAAGCAGTAATTTTAGGAACCATTTATTCGAATTGTAGAATTATTTTAGTGTTGGGATAGTACATTTATTAAGGAATATTATAGGCTATATGTAACAACACACTACCCATATACATATATAGGAGTGGATCGTCAATGAAAAATGTTGCAAAAATCGGGAAAATGTGATGTAGACGCAGTTGCGGTCAGCCAGTCTACTTAATATACTCGTATTTTTTAAGAGCGTCGTAATCTGTACCATGACTTTGTGTTCATTTATATTACTCATTGACTCACCATCGATAAAAATACCGTTAACAAGCCAAAATAATCCTAGATGTCTACGCTAGTGGTAGTGGCGTCTGGATTAGAAAATAATACAGTTGTAGTAGTATGGCATGTAAGTTGTTGCGTTGCATTCAATAAGATAAGAATAGCAATGAATGGGATATTCTTTATCTGTTATAACCTTCGTGAAGATATTTTTATTCTGAAATAAATATATATACATTTCTTAATTAGATTAATGTAAATTTATTAAATAATTATATCGGGTGCAGGGGCAGTACACATATCAATTTAAGTTCACCTTTTAACATATGCCTGATAAAACTGTTGTTGATAGTGAAACAGTCTATAAAAGATATTTTTTTCTCATTCCGTAATTTCCGAAGAGGGAAAAACATTCTTAAGGCAGTAGACAGATCGGTCGGAGAGGGGAGAAATCGTACGTATTTATTACCATAATAACCAACTGAGAAATCTAATATACGGGGAGTATTATCGATTTATCAGTAGTATAGAATAGAATAGAAAATCATTTATTCAAATAAACTTACATTGAAGCACTTTTGAGTAGTCATTACATTTTTTTTATCTACCGCTTAAATCAGTTGCTCTTGCTACCGCTATCAGTTGTACTATCCTCCCCTCTCCGACCGATCTGTCATCCTAATGCCATGAGAATATTTTTTTATTTATTTGTATATCAGGTAAATTAATGGCCCATATATTATAATATGTATTTTACATATCTTACAGACTAAATATATATCTTTACATATTCGATATAAAATAAACTCGCTTCAGCTGTCTATTCGCATAGATCTTTTAAACTACATAATATATTATAATGCAGTTTTCAGCAATAGATAGAGTGATTCAGCAGGAAGGTTCAGGTACAATCTTTCGAAGCCAGGTCGGATAGCTAGTATATGTATGTATGTATATAGTTAGTATATCTAGCATTAAAAACTAAAACTAAAGTAATTGATTAAATGATCTAAGCTGAAGATCTCGACTTCAATGGCTTCTGCAGTCTAAGTCCTTCTGTTGGTCAGTAGTGCCTTGCCCTTGTTTTCATGGGTTAAGCTGTAAAGTGTTAAGGCCAGCTATGGCTAAAATTAGAATATATCGAAAAAGAACTAAACCACCATGGTATGGTAAATGTAGGATAAATATTTTTTAATATCTAAGGGTAATAATATAAATATATTTTATATCAAATCAAATCAAATCATTTATTTGCAGAATACAGTGCTTATAGGTGTATACAATATTAAATATAATGTCCAGTTTATTCAGCCTGCCCGCCTGTGTGCAAATTTTTATATGTAAGTATATATTAATGTCATTCTGATTGTATTTATGTCATTGTGATTAGTCAATAATAAAATTAAAATAAACAAGTTATTTGAATTATTGACATTACAATTATTATAGGTTATGCATTAAATTACTAAATTCAATAAATTCTTTGACATTATAAAAACAATGTGCCAATAGTCATTTGGTTAAATCTATAATATATAAAGCTATATTTCAGGTGACTGACTCACTGATTGATATGCTTTTTCTCCCAGAAAGAGTGTGGGGGGGTATGGTCACGACGAAGTGTACCTTTCGCTAGGGATTCTCGTGTCACAATGTTAGTTACCATACTCCTCTGAAACGGCTTGACCGATTTTTATGAAATTTTCAAGTGTTCGCATCGTGCTTGAAGAAGATATTTTTTGGTTTGTCGACAAACACAATGGTGTTTTCGAAGAGTTTATCGGTTAATAGTTATAAACATTTAATCAGCTTTCTTAGCATAGCATAAAATTTTATAATCTCATCACATAATATACAACAAAGTCGCTGTCGCTGTCTGTCCTTATGTATGCTTAAATCTTTAAAACTACGCAACGGATTTTAAAGCGGTTTTTTTAATAGATAGAGTGATTCAAGAGGAAGGTTTATATATATATAACACCCGTAGGAAGCCGGGACGAGTAGCTAGTGTTAAATAAAGTAATTATCTTATTCTACGTTTCTACTATGTGAACTTGTTGAAGCTATTCATTTTACGCGAAATCAATAAAATGTAGGCACGAACGAAGGTTTAAGAAAACTAAAATTTTTATTTATTGTAACATCTACTTTATTAGTCCTATTTATATACATGCTTATGTAGATAAATTATTTCTACTATTTATTTGTTTTATTGACTATTAAAATAAGGTTTAAAAGATGGACTTAATGCTATACCATTCTCTACCATTCAACCTTGGAGAAAAGCAGATACATGATTGCGGCTTAACAATAAATGAGCATATTATTTACAAAAACGAAACAATAATAATATAATTACAATAATTATAAATATTACAAATTAGTGTGATTGTGATTAATATTATTAATAATAGATACAGATAAAAATTATTAACACTTATTATCAACGTACTCTGGTAGTATATCTAATACAGTGTCATATAAAAGTTTCTTGACATCTCTGGCAAACAAGTAATCTGCATGACTGAATTGTAAGAAAGGTACTTTGATTACTTTACTTACGTTTGCAAGCTTACTTTTTATCTTTGCTACACTCGTAATAGGTGTCACTCGATCAAAAAGCGAATAGAATATTACCACAGGCGCGGTGATCTTCTCTAAAGGATATTCAGGAGGTGTTAGGCTGCCGTATTTCTTAAAATTTTTTACAAAGCCATGATCATACTGTGCAAATTTTCCTGACAGAGATAGCTGTCCATAATGTAATCCTTGTCTAGTTGCAGATCCTGCAGGATAATGGCCAAAAATGACTGGAGCTGCAGTGGCATTTATTTGAGCGAAATCAGAGCCAGCCATGAGGAATAATATATTTCCGCATATCAACGTTGCAGAGGCAGGTGTAGGGCAGAGTGTATCTGACACAAATTGCAGAAATCTGTTCCTTGGCAGTAGTTCATATGCACCTATTGCATCTATGAGTGCAGTTTCCAATGGATTCACAATTGGTGAAAATATGTCAAGTAAAGGAACTCCAAAAATAAATGCTACAGCAGAGAATGCTACCATGACGCTTATTTTTTTATTATATTCAGGTAACTCCGAGCAAAGAACGAAGAATGTTGTTGAGCCTTGGGAATGACCTATGTATATCAGCTTTTCTTCCCCAGTTTTATCTAGAATATAGTCGATCATTGCTGGCAAATCATACCGACCAATCTCATCCCAGCTGAAGGCCCAGAACTCCTTGCATGATGGTGACAAGCTGACATGACGTCGAGAATGTACGTTGCCCCGGGCGTTACCCAACCAGACATCATAGCCGGCATCAGCTAACAGGTAAGCAAGTCCGCTATTCGAACCGATTGTCAAAAAGTCATCTGAACTGCTGAGGGTACCGTGCATCAAAAAAGCTACAGGTCCATCATTCGGTATCCGGAAGAATGTCAGGATGTATCCATCACTAGTCGTAACCTCATGTTGTTCCACAGGATAACCGTACTTCTTTAGTAATTGCGTTATGTTTAGATCTTTATCTTCGCAGTCTGATGATTTTTTAAATTCTTCATATAAGTTCTCAATTATACTCTCATTACAGCTAACATAATCTTTTAAATATCCAAACAGCTTACCAATTTTTTTGCCTACATCTTCTGGGATTTCGTTAATGTTTTTGTCAAATATGCTACATTCTTTACAACTTGTTAGATTTATTAAATTAATTAATATAAATGAAATATATATATTAATATGTGTTAACATTGTAGATAGTAAAATAAATAAACATAAAAGTGATCTACAATGGCAATAGTTATCACAAAAGTGAGTGAGTGTGCAGCATTAAAAACATTTTGTACCAGACTGTTTGTATTTTAGAATGCGTCACTATATTGCAAAAAATGTGACAGTTAAAGTGTGTATTTGGTTTTAACGTGTTCTATCAGAGAAAGAAATATTGATTTTATTGAAAATTTTTGCGAGAACGAGTATTCTACTCGTACTATTTTTTTTTATGTAATTGTTTTAGCAATCATGCTCTCCTGACGGAAAGTGGTAACCGTCGCCTATATACATCAACAGCACTATGGCCATCACATTATCATGTCACACTTGTATGTTGCCATTCCGAAGGATGTCCGTATCTCCTTTTTCACTGTTTTTATATAAATGATAAAACATAGCAACTGATAATTTTAGACCTAAATTAATTGACATAGTTGGGCATTGGCCCCATTGGTATCAAAGGACTATTGCAGGTTTACCTCACGCGTTATTCCTTGAAAACCATTGTCGTTAATTCCCCATGATAGAATAATTGACTTACGACCCTCAAGTCAGGTCAGTTAGCTCATCCGATATATCCCTTATTGATGTCGTCCACCGTATCTGGTAAGCTCAGGCGGGTACAATTTCATTAAAAACATGACCATAAGACGGATGTGCGGAAATAATTAATATACTTATGTTTTGTGTATTAACTTTCTATGAAAAGTAATTTTTATCTAGATGTTTTGATTAATCCATAACAGCCCATAGAAATCCCATCGGTGGGCACGAATCTGTTACCAATATGAGGTCATCGGCCTACAATTACCACATCAATCTAGGGGAGTTGGGTTCTTATGACTTTCTGGAGATGTCAACAGCGACAATTATTGTAAATGAAAAAGCGTGGTGACATCTAAGATCAATAAGTTCAGCAGTTTAAAGTGCTTTTGTTGTGTTCTTAGGTTGATACATTATACTCTCAGTAGTTAAACATACGGGTCTCAATTATTAAACAATATTTTTTAATCTGAATAAAATTCAATCTGCTGGGCATAATTAGTTCATTGTCAAAATAGGACAGACAGACAGAGATATTCACATCCTCCTATTGGTGTATATTGGGGCTTACAAAGTTTATTTATTCTTTATTGTACACACACACACATAATAAAAAAAATATACAGAATAAATGTTACAAAGTTATATAAACCTGGAAAATGTTAAACGTGTATTAAAAAAATATAATACTAAAGATATTAAAATATGCTACATGATATTTTAATCAATAGACATCACGTAAATGATATCATAAGTTAAAATATAGTTATAATATATACTAAATACTATATTTGGGAGGTTTTTAATCATTTGAATATTTATTTTTTTATATATACACATCAAAATTTTTGTGTGCTATTTTTTAGATATTTCGTATTTTTCAAAATAGGATCGTGTTATTTTTTAGATATTATGTTTTTCAAAATAGGAGCAGTTTCTTTTATGAAACGGGAAAGAAAAACAATCTGACAGTTCATCTGATGTTTGTGGTAATCATCGACATGCATGAGCTTAATGATCTTCACTTATCTATGTGATATGCCCATGTCATCACTCATGCTTTGTCATTCTGGAGAATTACGATGTTACAACTCCGTATCCTATAATTTCTCTGCATTATGTCGCTGATTAAACATTGAGTAGAACATAGTACTCAAAGAAAGCTAAAATAGTTAAAACAGATATACCCTTGTACAAACTCTACCTCATTAACATCTAGGCTCTGTAAGTTTAGATTGACTTATGATTAATCGTCTGGGTACTTACTATTCCATTATTTATAAATATTGAAAATTGCGTGATTTAAATTTCACAATACAGCAGACTACTCGGTAATCAACGCTCTTAATCAAATGAAGCAGGGACTTATGTATTGCTTATCGTTTTCCTCAAGGGAAATATGGCGAATTTAAATCTGGAAATTTGAATTGATTTCGCTTTCATTACCTAAAATATATATTATAAATAAATTCTGAAATAATTTTAACTTTAGATTGTGTAAAATAAAATTAGTTGAGTATTGGGTACAAATATGAAATTGGTACAAATATTGAATTTAACTGTGACATATTAGGAATTATGAATACATAAATGTATATAGTGTGGTATGTTATATGAGCAACTGGATGTAAGCAGTATACCTAAACCAAAGTGGCAGTTTTCTTCTACCTGTTACTTTTATTTATTTTTATTTTACTTCAGAGATAATATTCATTTATTTATATTTAAATAATTGATTTATATTAGAGAGAGATTTATATACTTTCTGTCACAAAGACTGTCCTGCAAAATCAGGATGGACCAGTAGTATTTTCAAATTCAAAAGTCATTTATTCATGTAGGACATTTTTGCCGCTTATGAACGTGAAATTTTTAGATTCTAATTTTAATTTTTTCCCTACCGTCCAGTTCGGTATATAGATCCAATTAAGAACTAGCAAGAAACTCAATTGAATTTTATTTTTAAAGTCAGTTTATTTACAATTATTACAATTATTTGTTGTACATAGTATAGCATTATATATCAAAGGTTTACATTATGAAATCTACTAAGTTCTTGTGTAGTAGTAGATAGCCTATTTTGCGAGCTGTGTACCGTCTGTAGAATGAGATATGTTAGTGAATTTACAAGGTACGTATAGGTATAACAACTTAGTCGTCAGCAATAGCAACCCATTATTATGGAAACGCCTTGTAATTTTGTCCAAGAACTATTTGTCGCTATATCCCTTCCCGGTCTTTTATCTAAGATCAAAGTATAGTAACTAAACAAGGAACTGTATAAGTACTTTCAGATTCAAATTGGGGCCGACTTTGAGTTTGCACTTAAAATAACACTAAATAAAAATTCAGAAATCCTATTATTTTTTATTTATATACATATTGCTTTGGGCACAGGGATGTCCCACTCCCACACACATATCAACTTTTCACCTTTGATCATTTACATGATAATAATGACATATTCTTGATAACGAGGCCATCCATAAATGTTAGACCCACAATGAGAGTCACTGGCAGTTTTTATATATTCTTTTGTCCATATTTAAAATATGATGTTCTGTATATACAATTGTTTTATAACACTTCTGTCACTGCGCTCTGCTATAACAAACGTCTATATAAGCATCTCTCTATTTTCATTATTTTCTACTATAAAACATTTCATAATAACTTAATATCTTATATAGATTTTAATCTCTTATGAAGCGATTAATGAAGGAATACTTAATAATAAAATTAGCGTATTATTGAACATTCTGTATATATAAGTTCAGAAGTATATATATCTATCTATAATAGAACAACGGAAGTAATTCTAGAAGGAAATATGAAAGTAGATTAACGTTTTCGGCTTTAAACAGTTTTTTAAATGTATATGGAATGGCAAATATGATGAGGGCCGGCCTGATAGCAATCGACGCCCGTGATGATGCGCTGCCGTGATGCGAAGGATTATGATGTGCCTGCAAATCATGTCATTTCACTGACTTGTCTCAGCTTTCTACCAAAACACATCTTATAATTCAATACAACACAGTTTGGCGGCTGAAATGGGTGAGACTGAGAGGCAGGGCATGCAGACGATTTTGCTAACTCTACCTTAGCAATATTTGTCGCATACAAAATATTTATTTTATTTTAAGTCATAACTAGAAAAATCTAGTTACCACTGAAAACTATTGGAACGTTACTAGTATCAGTGAGAATATATATTTCTAAGTAAGTTTAAGTTAACAGAGGAGAGAGAAATTTAAACAAACCGTACGTTAATTAATAATAATATATTCAGAATTTTCTCCAATCTTTCATCAAAATTGTGTAAATGAAATCCATTTTAAGACATGTTTAATTTCCATTTGATTCTGGAAATACTTCTACGTATCTCCCATTCACAAATCACAATCAAATTCAATTTTTATAATTTGTTAGGTATATTTTTGTTTGATTTTATAACTTTTAAATTTCTCCTGCAGTATCCGGATCCCTCTCCTTGATATGAATATTAGTCTGCTCATATTAGGTTATTGAAATGATTTATTATAACGTTTCACTTGAGTTTTTATTTTCTTCTGGTGTCATGTCCTTCTGCTGGAACGTTTGTGTAAATATATAAATCATTAACTATGTAAGTTATTGATTTACATATTTATATCTAGTTTTATTGTGTTTAGGTCTGTTGTAGATTTATTTATTCACTATCTACTGTCATATACTTTTCTCTATTTGTTATTAGTATCTTCCATGTTGTTTGTACGACATTGTTTTTATAAATAAGAATCCTTGTTGTTGAGTATGTATGATAATACATTTTATCATTTCTATTATGTGTGCATCATTAATGCTTCTCAGATTATTTACTACAGCTTAAGGGATGAAAAATTATTAATTTATTAATGATTAGTTTGCTCAAACTTTGTGATAGTATAATAAGTTCGCTTACTGCTTATGCTTTGCAGCCGCAGTTTGCTTTTGGTTGGATGGTATCTATACATATATGTAGCATATGGTAAGGAAATTACGGAGTTCGGAGCCCTTGTAATTAAATGAAATTTGTTTGTTATAAAAGTAGTACATAATACCTTTCAATTAAGTCCTATGGAATTGCATACTACGGGTGTTACAAAATGAAGTTATGTGTACGGCGCAATTCTCTTGTTTGCTATTTCAGAATAGAATATATAAGATATAGAAAATATATAGAATATATAAGAATTTTAAATGAGGATATTTCCTTGTTTCTTTCACTTTTTTGGATGTGATAAGTACATATTTTATGTATCTGGATTGGCAGACAAGCTGACGGCAAGGGGCAGCTGTTGCCCGTATAAATAAACGGGTCCACCCGTTCCATCCCGACCACGCTTTCTAACACACACGACACCGTCCTCGCTGTCGAAGACGAAGATCTTACCATTACGCGCAATGAACCGGCAAACTAAATGCGCCCGGGCGCTCCATACCGGTGCCTCCGGATGCCCCTCCGATCGATCCCCCGACCAATTGAAACGGGGATCGAAATTATGGCCTGAGCCGGTTCTAACCCCTAGCGGTGCCGTCAAACTAAAGTCGTATCCGTTAGCTTCAGCCGCTTCATAAGCCCTTCCATGGATTTGGAGTGCCATTAGCGCTCGTTTCGGTGAAGCTTTAAAGGTCAGCGGCGCCCAACTGTTTTCAATAGCCATGAGGGCTATTGAATTGAGGCCTAATGCTATTATTAAAACTAGTAAAAACAAAATTAATAAAAACGCGTTTATCCCATTACTGATGTTTTATTGTAACATAAAATGATAGGTAAGTGATTAATATAACAAAATATTAACATTCAAGGACCCATCTGTTTTATAAAAATATAGTCGAAAAATAGCCATGTGTAAATTGTATGAAATCTCATTGTTAATTTACTTTTTTTGTTAACATATTTCGAGTAAGAGGGAGGTGGTGTGCGGGGGTGAGGGGGTATGAGCAAGTCAGTTATGCGATCGAGCGAAATGGCCACGAATTAACTCCATCCATCAAGATCATCCTGATGATGCTTAAATATTGCTGGCAATGGCGCCACTATTTGCCATTATTGAAAATTATATCTCTTCCTAAAAGGTTTCGTTGAGAGATACCCCTAACTTTACTATTACGTTACAAGTAATCACAGACAAGATTGTAGGAAAAATTAAGGGAAGTGGATGAGGTGAGTATTTAGGAAATTTATATTCCTTCCTTCAATTCCTTCATGCATCTTTTAGGATTCACTTAGGATAACAACACTTGACATGACACCACCTACCTATCATTAGATACGTCCGTCCTAATAATAATTATAGTCATTGACCATGACTATAATATAATATTGTATAGTACAAAACACGATTAAGATAATGTGTAAAAGGGTTTTGAAGCTTATTGCCAATAAACTTTATCCTTCGGTTACCTCTTCATAGTGTCTGCTCACTATCCGATTCTTCTGGATAGTGTCTGCTTAACAGTTAACGTCCATACTCTATCATATATACAGAGAATCTATACTGAAAAAACCTATACACTAGTCTATATATATTACAGCAATAGTAAATATAAACTAAAAGTATAATGGACTATATCAATAAGGAACAAATAAGACACAATTCATTTCAATAAGCTGAACAAACATTCAGCAGAGCTTGTCACTGTCTATAATAGAGTGTCTCTTTGTTGATATTCTATAATTAATAAACCCTAATGTTTTCAAGTATGACGATAGTTGTGTAAAGCGCTCTGTACACACGCGCGAGTCGCGTTCCGCTGCGATCCGCACCTTCGGTTTACTTTGGAAACGAATTTTGAACTTATAAACTGTGCGGTATATCTTATTCCACCTTTTTATAGTCTTAGTCTTCTTTTGAATTATATTTTAATTATATACAACGTACATAGCAACGTAACAATATTTCATGATCAATGAAAGATACATATATTGATTTATACATTATTTTAATAGTAGTAACAAATGGGCAAAGAACAAAATGTGGACCTGCGGAAGTTTGTAAGATCTCGCGGACGGACGGCAGTCATGTTTCAACACTAACGTTATAAATAGTTAATAATCTGATAATAATTACAGAAACAGTTTGTATAAACCGCTAGACCACCGAGGCCGTTATGAAAACAATGAAGACCTATTGGCATGTAACATACATGCCAAACATAGGTCTAAACCATGTAGTGTCTAAATGCGCAAATGAAAATGGAAACTGGAAAGTGGACAGAATAGTTGGATTTTAGGATGAAAGAAGGCAACATACCTGGATTACTCGATGTCTTCCCAGGGGCCGGCCGTCCTCTCGTTCTTGTACAATGCTGCACCAGCACCCTATGACACTTCACAAAACATAAATATTGTCTATATGCAAATTTACGAAATCAGTCTATATAATGTCTAACTACTAATTATAATGCGGATGAAAAACTATGATAGCCACCATTCAACGATCTCTGATCGACTACGTGTATGATAGCCTAGTCTTGCCGATTGGGTTCGAGCGAAACATATCTGACAAACATCCTTTTCAGATTCCTTGCCAACGAAAAAGATAGATGTGGAGGAAAATAGGTATACAGGCGCAAACACCATGAGTGGCCAGTCATATCAAAGAGGTAAACATCTGTCTACAATTATTCTATAATTGTAGACAGATGCAAGAATAATTTTAAGACATCCACTACCTGTAAGAGGAATTTTCATAATATCTGTAAATACCAACTTCGGTGCGAAATTGAAAATACAAATTACGAACTTTGAACGCTTTCTGCGGCGGATTGCGATCCTCAACTGCATCGTGTACTTAGCGCTTAACAGGGACTAGAGATACATGTAAAATGACGCCATTTTACAGAGTTACAGACACCTTTATACGTTGATGTAAGAAAACCACATCAAAGATACTACATTTTGCCAGCAATGTTATCTACTTTTGAGATGAATAGTAATTCACTAAAAAGGAAACGAAATATGCCAATATATTCTCCACATAATATTTGTTCAGATGGCTTATTTATGAAATAAGCCATTTGAACAAATATTAAAAGCACAAAATAGGACAAACTGGGAGTCGTGTCGTATGAACAATTATACTGCATGATGGAAGATCGCGGAAAGTGGCAAGAGCTCTACCAACAAGAGCGTAGTTCTTTAATTATGAATGAATGAATGGCTTGTGTACGGTGAAACATTTTTTCATTATTTTCAATCCTACTATATTATATATGTAACAGTAAATAATATAGTATATGGGATGTTTGTTAAACTTTCACACAAAAATTATTAAATGGATTTCAATGAAATTTGGTACGATGATAGACTTCGTCCATGCGGACGAAAATTTAATTACTTACTTGTTTAAATTAATATGTTTTAATTTATTATTATGAATTACTGTTCTATTGACGATAATGAAACGACAAAAATATTACATACACAGGCTTTTTATGACGCCCCATCTATTATTTTATTATAAATTAATTAAGTATAGTAGACGGCATATAAAATTAGTAAGAAAAGATTTGGTATTTCGGGATATTTTTATAAGATTGTAGTCTAGATGTTGTGACCTACATTTAGTTACATATTCTGTAAAAATTCAATCACTCAATCATTTTATTTGTGATTAAAGGTGTGGTACATATTTAATAGAAAGTGCTTAGTTTTAATCAATCATTTGGCAAATAATTATAGAAATTGTCACGTTAAAAATATTATTTGAAAACAATATTTGAAATATAAGCTAAATGAAGGCCGTCAACTTCATGGTCTAGTGGAGGATGATAGGGTGAGCATAGAAATAGAGAGTGATAGGTGAGGTCAGGTCAGTTAGCACATTGTAACAAATTCATCATCGCGATGGTTTCCAGGGGAACGGTGGGGAGGTCAACCTGATTTGATATATTGCTAGCGATGGAGATTTTTATGAAATTATATATTCATATTTAGTAGGTCTGAGAATCGGCTACTATCTATTTTTCATACCCCTATGTGGTAAGGGATATCCACCCCTAAGGGATATACATCCCTAAATATATATATTTTTTTAATTTTTTGACTTAATAGTCAATTTTTATTTTATTATTATTTAGGATTGAAAAATACATACAACCATCATCAACCCCTATTTTTTAATAGCGATTTTAAGTTATATGGCAAAACAACGTTTGCCAGGACAGCTAGTAAATAAATAATAATCATTTTGGAAATATATATAGGTTATTAGTTGCTAATTGTCCTGTTTTCTCAGAACATGTTCTAGTTTATTTTTAAACTGAATAATCCTGGTTTTTCAACTACAAATACTGCTTTTTAAATTTGGAGGTAGGAACTGTAGGTCATCGGACTACTTGTAGCAAACTTGTGTCTTCTAGATATTGCTGAACACTTGGCAATCTGATGATTGTTTAACATTTTCATCCTAGTTCCTACGCTTTTTTACGTGACATTTTCATAAACTGTTATATGGATAGTTGTCACCCCATTTTAGTTTAATTATATGTAATCATAAGCATGAAAAGATCTAGATCTTATTATTATTAAGGTTATATTTCCACTTTGTATTCAGATTACAGGAAACAATAAAAAACAAATAAGAATACTGTTCAAGACAATTTGAACCTAAAATAAATATAAATATTTTGTAGTATATATTTTCGGTTTGTAATGGCAACACTTAACAGTTTAAAAAGGATTCATTCAAACTGTCACTCCACCCTTTCTGTTTCTAACTATCAAGCCATACACACTGTACTCCTGTAAATCAAATATAAAAATACAGTCCAAACATATTAAAAGCATATGTTGTTTTATTAATCCAACATATTGCTTGTGGTCCATCGAAGCTGTGAAATTCGACTGTTGTTTGGGTGCAAATCATCCCGAACGACATACTCCGTCTACGGCCATACCACGTCGACGGCCGGCCCCAGAAGATTTTCGTGCGAAATCTATAATTTCGTTGCGAAATTTCAACATCGTCGTGATTACTCGTGATACACATCGCACAAGAACAAGAAAAACTGGCAGCTAAGTTGAATCTCAATATAATATCAGCATTTTAATATTTTTCCAAGACGAGGGTATCTCCATCCACGGAGTTAAAATTCAAAGCAAGAAGAGACAAAGAGTCTTAAAGTTACGTCATCCTTTTCCTATTTTCGCTCTGTGGCACTCAGTGACTTTAGCTTTTATAATCTGTCACATTACAAAAAACAAAACTGCTGTATCATTGTGACAAATAAAGTGCATAATTATTGTTCTGAATTTCAAGTGTTTGTGAAAAATAAACCGTAAAAAAAAAATGGAGAATTCTGACACTCTATTGCGTGATTTGAAAAACCGGCGTAAACTCATCAAGGCATCAATCACTCGCATTGAAAACTTCGTGGCAGACCCTATCAATTTGGGGTCGTCTCCTGAAATGTTTGCGGCGAGACGAGATCGACTAACAAACATATTTAGAGAATATGAGGAGGTACAATTAAATATATTATCTTATGACGATAAAGATGTGGAAGATGTGGGCATCATAGAAGATAGGTACTTTAATGTAATTTCAAAAATAACCTCAATTTTAAAGAAGTTAACTCAGACAGATTCATTGTGCACAAATGTATCCAATTCTAAGCTGCCCAATATCGAAATTCCGTCATATGATGGCAGGGACTTCACCAAATTTAAGCCTTTTATTGATTTGTTTTTGGCAGTAATACATAACAATAGTTCATTGTCCGATGTACAAAAATTATTTTATTTAAGAAAATCTTTAACTCATGACGCCTTATCTGTCATTGAGAACTTACCTCTTGTGAATCAATCCTACAAAGAGGCCCTAGAATTGTTAAATAAACGGTTTGATAATGAGGCAAGATTAATCTCTAATCATATTAATATAATTTTAGAGTTACCTTGTATGCAGAAAGGTACTGCGGCCGCTATACGGTCATTTATATCAGGGGTACAGCAACAAATGTATGCATTAAAAAATTTAGGGCAGCCAGTCCAACATTGGGACATGCTGTTGATATCCATACTTACTAAAAAATTAGACCAGTATACAAATAGGGCTTTCCAATTAGATAGGGATCCCAATACATTGCCAACAATGGTAGATTTTATTTCATTTTTAGAACGGCGTGCTATGGCGCTGGAAGACAGTGGGGATAAAAGTAGCACTATTACTTCAAATAAATCTCCCACTGCACATAATAAAGTCAGCAATATTGCTACTACTAGTAATAAGTCTAATAAGCTGTGCTTGTTTTGTCAAGGTACCGGCCATGCTATACATGGCTGTCCTCGCTTCAAGCTGGCCGCCTTAGAGGACCGCTTGCGGTTTGTAACAATTAATAAATTATGTAATACCTGCCTGAAATATCACATAGGTAAGTGTAAATTTAATTTTGTTTGTAAATACTGTAAACAGAGCCACAATACGCTTCTGCACAAAAATAATAGTTCTCATGAGAATCATGAGGAACCTGTAACTTTGCATTCTATAAATGTAAAAAATAATCTTATTCTACCTACTGTAAAGGTTAAAATCATTGACCAATATGGTCAAGATATCTATGTAAAAGCCTTGCTTGACAGTTGTAGTCAGGTGTCATTCATCACCACTAAATTGATGGATAAATTGAATTTAACTTCTAAAAGTTGCCAATCCAACATACTTGGAATTGGTAAGAGAAATAATCAAATAAATAAATTTGTAAATATTACAATATTTTCTATAGTAACTCATGTTCAGTTTAATGTAAAATGCCATGTTGTCAATGACATTACAGCTCCCCTGCCGCAACAATATATAAATATTTCAAGTTTTAATTTTCCAAATCATATTAAATTCTCTGATGATGAGTTTTATGTACCATCTGAGATTCCTATGCTTCTGGGTGCTGACATATTTTTTAATTGTTTATTAGATGGTCATATTAAAATACCTAATGGTCCTGTTTTACAAAACACATTATTTGGCTATGTTGTGGGAGGTGATATGTATAGTCAAGACACAAAGTGTAATAATCAGGAATCAAACCTGAATCACCTACAATATAATAACTTTGTTTCTAATTTGGTAATATATGATAATGAAAAGTTAGAAAGTGTAATGGAAAATTTTTGGCTGTCTGAAAGAGTTCCTGAAGTTGTAACTGAGGTTTCAAAATTAACTGAATTTCAGAGAGCTGAACAATGTTTCATAAATTCGGTAAATATTCAAAATAATAAATTTCATATTGATATGCCTCTTATTACTGATATACATGACTTGCAGCTTGGGGATTCTCTTTCAGTGGCCCTTCCAAGATTTTTATCATTAGAGAAAAAGTTTAATAAGAATCCTATGTATTTTAAACAATATAAATTATTTATCGAGGAATATATTGCCTTGGGACATGCCAAAATTGTTGATATCAGTACCTATGATTTTGATAACGAACCGGTTTATTTTTTGGCCCATCATGCCGTATTTAAAGAGGACAGTGTAACAACTAAGCTGCGTGTTGTGTTTGATGGAAGTATGCCATCTTTGAACAAAATCTCTTTAAATGATGTCATGCTGAATGGCCCAGTGGTCCAAAATGAACTCTTTGACATATTATTGTTGTTTAGAACATATTGTTACACACTTACCTGTGACATTACAAAAATGTTTAGAGCCATAAATATAAATAAACATCAACTTGGTCTTCAAAATATTCTGTGGCGAGATGACCCCAAAAAACCTATCTCTATCCTGCAACTTCAGACAGTCACATATGGACTGAAGGCTTCCACCTTTATGGCCACGCGATGCCTTATAGAGTTAGCTAGACAAAATAAAAATGAATTTCCACAAGCTGCACAAGCCCTGCTTTCTAATACTTATGTCGATGACATTATATGTGGTGCGGATAGTTTAGAGCAGCTTGAACAAATTAAAATTCAATTAATTCAATTATTAAAAATAGGGGGATTCGAGCTGCATAAATGGTGTTCTAATTGTCCTCAGGTTTTACATGATGTTCCTTCTAATAAAAAATATTTTGAAAAAATTGATTTACATAAAAATAATATTGTTAAAACTCTGGGTATAAAATATGATGTCATTCCAGATCAATTTATATTTTCAAGTCCTATCATTGAAAACAATTATTATATGAAAACTAAGAGAAAAATTCTTAGCTTTATTGGGAAAATTTTTGACCCATTAGGTTTGATTAGTCCTGTAGTGGTACTAGCCAAGTTATTTATGCAAGAGCTATGGTCTATGCAGATTGACTGGGACTCTACATTGCCCCAGAAACAAATTGATCATTGGAATAAATTTTTATTTAATCTCAACTCGATGGGAACAATTAAAATACCACGAGTCATATACACCAATACTCTATTCCATGTAGAGTTAGTTGGATATGCGGATGCCTCTCTTAAGGCATTTGGCTGCTGTCTCTATCTGAGAAATTTTAATTCTGATTCTAGTGTCTCTAGTAACTTACTTTGTTCTAAAACAAGGGTTGCCCCTCTAAATAAATCCATAACCATTCCAAAGTTAGAACTTAATAGTGCTTTGTTACTAGCAAAATTAGTAAACAGAGTAAGCACCATATTGCAAACAAGATTGAAGTTAAAGGTGTTTCTATATAGCGATTCACAGATAGTATTAGCCTGGATTAAAATGGCCAATATTAAAGCGAATCTATATGTTTCCAATAGGGTTAAGGAAATAAATTCTTTAACTAAAGATTTTCAATGGTCATATGTAAAAACTTCTGATAATCCTGCAGACTTGCTCACAAGGGGAATTGATCCACATAAATTGCAATCAAATTATTTGTGGTGGCATGGTCCTAAAGATTTAATAAATAATAAATTTTGCCATACACCTGCCGACTGTAGCTATCCCATAGTAAATCATGAGCCTGAATTATCAGTGAATGTCTACTGTATAGATCCATATGTATTCGATTTATTTCAAAAAATTTCTGATATTAATAAATTACAAAGAGTCATCTCTTATATTTTACGTTTTAAAAATAATTGTCTCAGTCAAGAAAAATTTAGTGGTTCGCTGATGCCTAAAGAGCTCTATAACGGACTCTCAGTAGTAATTCGGTGTATTCAAAGAAAATACTTTCATAAGGACATAGAGTCAATGATAAAGGGAAAACCTATTAAATCTGGTTTAGCTAATCTTTACCCATATTTAGATCAAACTGGTGTTCTCAGAGTAGGAGGGCGTCTACAAAATGCGAAAAATATTTCCTTTGATAAAATGCACCCTGCTATACTTCCAAAATCTTCTCATATTACTCATTCCATAATTCGAAGAGAACATCTTAGATTGTTACATGCTGGTCCAAAGCTTGTATTAAGCTCTTTATCTCAAAGATATTGGCTTATTAGTGGAACTCGCGAGGTCAAAAAGGTGGTGAATAAATGCATAAAGTGTGCTCGTTTGAAAGCAGAAGCTTCTAAACAATTAATGGGGTCTCTACCACAAGATAGGCTGACAGCTAACAGACCATTTCAAATTGTGGGTGTGGACTTCTGCGGTCCATTCAGCATCAAAATTCCACGAAGTAGAAAGCCGGTTCTTAGTAAGGCATACATAGCGCTATTTGTTTGCTTTGCTTGTAAAGCCATCCATGTTGAGTTGGTAAGTGACCTCACCACAGAAGCATTTTTGGCATGTCTCAAACGTTTTATTGCTCGACGAGGCTTGCCTACTCATATATATTGCGACAACGCGAAAACCTTTAAAGGTGCTTCAAATCAATTAAAAGACTTATATGAATTGTTTTCTAAAAAAGCTCATAAAAATGACATAGAAAATTTTTGTTCTAAAAGTCATATAACATTTAAATTTATTCCTAGTTACTCACCTGAATTTGGAGGGCTTTGGGAAGCCGGGGTTAAGAGTGTTAAGAGCCATCTTAAAAGAATTGTGGGGAATCTTTCTTTAACTTTTGAAGGACTTTACACTGTAATTACAGAAATTGAAGCAGTACTTAATTCGAGACCTTTGCTTCCCATGAGCTCAGATATCTCTGATTGTAAATACTTGACACCTGGCCATTTTTTAATAGGCACGGCAATGACCAGCTTACCTGAAATTGATTATTCTTATAAAGATATTAGTAAATTAAAATTTTGGCAAATTCTTTCTAAATTAAAGCAAGATTTCTGGAAAGCTTGGTCGCGTGACTACCTGACCCAATTGCAGAGCAGGCCAAAGTGGTTGCATCCACATAATAATTTAAAAGTTGGAGATCTTGTCATTGTAAAAAATGATAATCTTTCTCCTTTAAATTGGCCCATGGCCAGAATTGTTAAAATATTTCCGGGACCTGATGATAGAGTCAGGGTTGCTGAAGTAAAAATGGGTAATAAAATATACACTAGGTCTTTTAGAAAATTATGTCCACTTCCTATAGATGGACAATAAAAGAAAACTCATTATTCATTTAAATCAATTATACTTTTAACTTAGAATATCTTTTTCTTTTAACAAATTTACTGCACCAACCCTGGCCCGGCCCCAACTATGTTCAAGACAATTTGAACCTAAAATAAATATAAATATTTTGTAGTATATATTTTCGGTTTGTAATGGCAACACTTAACAGTTTAAAAAGGATTCATTCAAACTGTCACTCCACCCTTTCTGTTTCTAACTATCAAGCCATACACACTGTACTCCTGTAAATCAAATATAAAAATACAGTCCAAACATATTAAAAGCATATGTTGTTTTATTAATCCAACAAATACAATAAAAATTTTAATTTGAATGGTCTATGTATTGATTCTGTATTTGTATTGGCTATGCGTTACGTATTATAATTTAAATAAGTTGATTGGGTCTGCTTCACCCTGATTAATCTTCCTGCTCCATATTGCCTGTCCCGCCTACACTACGCCACCAAGGAGTACATTATCGACAATTTACGGAGCAGGAGTATTTTTTTTTATTGGGTTGTTTGGCCTATTGTCAGATGTTTGTAGCACCTGTAGCACTGCGACCTACATAGATCTATTGTGCTCGCCCTTTTTCAAAGTTCGCTACCTAGACGCGTCAGGGACAAGAATTGAAGGATATTCTTAGGAGCGATGGTTTTTATCTCCTCGGAAAAGAGTGTAAACTTTCCAAAGGACATATTTCATTTATGCATGAGTGGGCTACAACCACATAGGATGTGAAGCGGCGTTTCCTCTTCAGTTTGGCAGAATTTGCAGATTCTTGTCATGCATAGACCAGGAGTAACTTGACATTGAGGGTGACGCATTGAGTCGAGACACAACGCGAGTTTCAAGGCGTGGGCCGGGGTCCGGGCGTGGACCGGGTCGCCAGTAACATGGTGCTGCTTCATGAAAGAGGACTACTGGCTGCAAGGGGTGGTGTATCGGCGCTATCGTAGCAGATTGCCGTGACCAGTGCCGTGACCACACAGACAATATTGATATATTAGTTTTAAAATATTAATTCATATATTAGTCTATAAGTTATTTATAATATAAGACTAGTAGCCTCAAAAAAATAAAATAAAAAATAGAATTTATTTACCTTTTTTAGTGATGAAGAGCCCGGCTAGTGACCTTCATCGAGGTAGACTGTACAGAGAGGCATGTGTGACGTACATATTTCAGGTTTCAGATTATCCTTTGTAATACGTGTTTCTGTTAATTGAGGATGTGATATTCAAGGCACTTAAATTAAGGATGCATATGTCATGAAACATTATTATGTTAATAAAAATGGTATTCATGAATAAAATTCATACTCATTGTGATAATTTTTTATAATATATTTATTTAATTAATTAATTTACATATTTATTAACTTATTACATTTGAATAATAATACATATTTTAGATCGAAAAGTTCGATATTCTAAGATTTGCTTAATGTAGTTTGATGGATGGTCCCTAGTAATTTATTGGTAAATTATTATTCTTACCCGATGTTTCGACTATATATCATTATGCGCAGATAATGATCTTGACTAGTGGGACATTATATGGGTTATAATCAAACAATTTACATTATAAAAAAAAACATAATAACAACGATATTTCTATTTTAAAGTTAATTATGAATGTACTTTGGAAGTACATCTAATACAGTATCATATAAAAGTGCCTTGACATCTCTAGCGAACACATAATCTGTATGACTAAACTGTAAAAATGGTACTTTAATTACTTCTTTCACATTTCCTAGTTTCTTCTTAATTAATTCTACACTCGTAATAGGTGTCACCCGATCGAAAAGAGAATAGAATATTACCACAGGCGCAGTGATCTTCTCTAGAGGATAATCAGGTGGAGTTAATTGTCCATACTTCTTGAAATTTTCGATAGGCCCATGATCGTACTGCGCAAACTTTCCTGACAGGGATAGTTGTCCAAAATGCAGACCTTGTCTCGTAGAGCATCCTGCAGGTAAATGGCCAAAAATGACAGGAGCCGCTGTGGCATTTATTTGAGCAAAATCAGCACCGTAACTAAGATATAATATATTCCCGCATATCAATGTTGCAGACGCAGGAGTTGAGCAGTATGTATCTGTCAAATATTGCATAAATCCGTTCCTGGGCAGAAGTTCATACGCACCTATTGCATCTATGAGTGCAGTTCCCAATGGATTGACAAGTGGGGCGAATATATTGAACACAGGAACACCAAAAATAAACGCTACAGCAGACAACGCTATCATTACGTTTATTTTTTTATTGTATTCCGGCAATTCTGAACAAAGGACGAAAAACGTTGTCGAGCCTTGGGAATAGCCGATGTATGTTAACTGTTCCTCTCCGGTTTTATCTAGAATATAGTCAATCATTGCTGGCAGATCATAGCGGCCAATCTCATCCCAGCTGAAGGCCCAAAATTCCTTGCAAGATGGCGACAGGCTGACGTGACGACGGGAATGTACGTTGCCTCGAGCGTTGCCTAACCAGACATCATAACCGGCATCCGCTAGTAAATAGGCGAGTCCACTATTAGATCCTATGGTCAAAAAGTCATCGGAACTGCAAAGGGTACCGTGCATCAAAAATACTGCAGGTCCATCATTTGGTATCCTGAAGAATGTCAGGATGTATCCGTCGCTAGTCGTAACCTCATGTTGTTCCACAGGGTAACCGTATTTTTTTAATAATTGCGTTATGTTTAGATTTTTGTCCTCAGAGTCTGCTGACTTTTTATATTCCTCATATAATGTTTCAAGTATAGACTCATTAGTCTCAATAACATCTTTTAAATATCCAAACATCTTACCAATTGTCTTGCCTACCTCCTCTGGGATTTCGTTAATATTTTTATCAAATAAGCTACATTGCTCACAATTTGCTAGATTTGTTAAAATGAATAATAAAAAAGATATTGTTAGGTGTAACTTCCTGTGGTGGCGCCACCGTCGTGCGGCGCGTCTATAAAAGGCTGCGAAACCCGGTGTGCGGCCTCTTTTGGTCGATAGACGTGCTCTCGAAAGAATCTCCGTATCATACCGTGTTTGCTTTATAAGTTCTTTTACTGATTATGTTAAAATTAATTATACGATTTGTTATAAGTTTCTTTTATTTAATTAAATTTAGAGGATACTCCTAACATCAGAAGTGGGATTCGAGGCCATTTTTGGTCGCGAATAACATTTTTGACTAAGGATTGATTACATGTCGAGTAGAAAACGCCCATCGTTACGAGAGCACGCGTCTCCGTTCTCCACCTATCAAATATAGGTGAACTAGGAGCGTTAATGGACGCAAGTCTCAACAATTGGTGTCGCTGGAACAACGTGCGGGTAGCTCAGCGAAACAGGGGTTCGCATATAGCTGCCGACGTAGATGCTGACGACGTGCCTGCGCCGGCACCGGCCCCGCCACGCTGTCGCCGCCCGCGCAGACAGTCGGCGCGCCAGCCAGACCCGCCAACGCGGCGCCAACGAGCGCACCTGGTGCGGTGGCGCGATCGGTTGCTACCTCAACAGACATTACGAAACGCCTTATCGACGTTTAATGTCATGAATCTGGTGAGATCTTTCCATTTTTATATTTCATACTTTTAAGTATGCGCAACATTGACGAGTAGTTGCGATGAAGTAGATCGTGGTCATTCAGTGAACCGACAGACGGTGTCAGTTTTGTTGTTAAAAGGTGAAGCAAGTGCGTAGTAACGTGAGTGAGTTAGTGATGATCATACTTGGTCATATATGATAGCAAACTACGTAGTATAGAAGTAGATTCTCAAATACGGTGCTATAGTTGCAATATAGTCGGGTAGTATAGAAGTAAATTTAGTTCTTTTGAAAAATAACCTACGGACAAAATCGCATATGCGTTTTGTAAGAATATAGGTCATACTGAATACGCTTACTTTACAAAGAAATAATCTGAATTAGGCTAACGCAAGTTTTCGCCGTGACTTACTAGTGATAATGCACATTTACGAAATTATCGCGCCGTAATATGCGGGTACCCACAGATGTTTAGTACGATAGTGGTTCAACAACTTCTTTTAAATCAAATGATCGTCTTCGTGTTGTAAGATGCACATATTATGCTGTTTAGACGAAACGGATATGCGGTCTGATTATACCCACAAATGTTTAGTACGATAGTGGTTCAACAACTTCTTTTAAATCAAATGATCGTCTTCGTGTTGTAAGATGCACATATTATGCTGTTTAGACGAAACGGATATGCGGTCTGATTATACCCACAAATGTTTAGTACGATAGTGGTTCAACAACTTCTTTTAAATCAAATGATGGTTTTCGTGTTGTAAGGTGCACATATTATGCTGTTTAGACGAAACGGATATGCGCTTTGATTACTTTCTTACTTAATCTGCAAAATTCATAACATCTCACAAGAAGTAACTTCTTAGTACCTTGTGATTATCTTAAAGACGTCGGTACTCATTGGTAATGATATTTTTAATATTGAAAAGACATTGCGTATACGAAATAACGATTTTTAGCGTATTTTTAGAAACCGCTCTTTTGAAAATAATATAGCGCGTAGTGAATCGATAGCGCGACTTCAATTGATAAATACACCGTTCCGTGGTGATGAAAAAGAAAATTTGTAGTCTTAATGAATAAACATTCTGAATACTTTTTAGTGGCTCAGTCACAGCTATGGTCAATACCGTATAGAGATACACATTCGACTACTTGTTAACGAAGTAGCGTTATGTAGGTACGACGGTTAATTACCGAATCGACCATATAAATTATTTTACAGTTATAAATTAAGCATGCGTGTGAAAATCCAGGTTTACAATTCATTTCCGCTAAGTGTAATTACCTCGCTCCTGAGGTTGTGTATCCTAGGAGACTGGAACTATTTGTAAGAGTCAGGTCAGGCCGAACGTATCCAAAAAGAAATGATGGATTCTTCGTTCAAACAAATTTCAATTTGAGCATTTCATTCATTCATCAAGTAATACTTATTTTTGAATCTTCCGCGTGAACTATCTTATCGTATAAGGAACGAGCGAGGAAGGAAGACTAAGTCTGTTGCTTTTTTGAACACTTGTGGTAACTGTACATTTTAAGTTCAAATGTGTGAATACAAACTGCGAATTAGTACTAAATCATTAAAATCTAAATATTAAATACGCAATCAATTGGTTGATTAAGTAAATAAGATTAAAGCGGTGTTAGAGTAGGAAAGTCTCTACAAGCAGTCCTCGTTCATGTGTATGACGGACAGAGAAAAATAAACGCCGTAGTAGTTTTGGATACCAAAAACTGTCGAAGCTGCTTGTTGCGGAATACGATGTTGTCGGTTGAGACGATGTATAATAAAAATGAACTGATCAAATGCAAACAATATCATTTAAGGAGAGCTGACATGGTTTGTGCAATATTTAGTTGATATTATTTAGTGATACTGGTCAGCTATCTTATTCGGTATATCCCGTGATACACCCAAATCGCCTCTTGAAATTTTAACGGGGAAAAGAATAGAAACTAGAGAGATGAGATCATCTCTATATTGGCTAGTCAATCCGCGTTGCTTATCTTTGACCATTTACGGACTGAAGTCCATACGGATGCAAGTGCACTAGGTTACGGTACTAATTCAAATAGGAAAAGACGGACGTATACACGCAGTAGCTTTACAATATGTGCAGATCCAAGGTACTACTCCTGAGCTCGAGATACTTGCTGTTGTCAAGGCATTGCAACATCGTCATCTCATCGGAAAACATTTTAGGGTAGTAACTAACTGCAACGCCCTGAAAATTATAAGAGGATCTCTTGCCTAGGGTAGTGCGCTGGTGAATGTGCCTACAGGATCGTGATTTGACGTTTGAATATCGTAAAGGTTAGTTCATATCTCACGCATCGAAATCCTTTTAATAACCTCACGAATCGTAGTAGCATATGCTGCTGATGATGAAACTACTTGTACAAGGGCAGTTGAATAGTTTGCGATATATAAAGAAAATAAATCTTAAAGAAAATAATTATTAACATATCTCTATAGGAAAAAGTCGCGATTATTGTTATATTTCTAAAGACTACGTGTTGACCATATTGACGTGGAAACGTTGTCGAGTTCAAATTAGTTGACGGTTTCAAAGTAGGGTCCATCTTGTAAAGAAATACTATAGAGCACGGAATTGTTTGTTTAATGTGTAAACATGTTACCTTATACTTTATATCACGTTCCTCTCCACCCAATGTCCAGGTCCACTATACTTTCAATACCTTATGATGCAGTACATAAAATGTAACGAATACAAATATATTCTCGTACACTCAAATGCTTTCTCTATTGTTCTAATCTATACAGAGTCAAAATAGAGTAGAGTCAAAAAGGAATTTGAGTTTTTCTAATGTAATTTGTATTTTTGAGATAAATTTTATCGTAAGGTATTTAGGTAACACCTCGTGTAAGGCTTTGTGCAGCATCGAGTGTGTTATAGGATACACCTCGTGTAAGGCTTTGTGCAGCGTCGAGTGTGTAATAGGTAAGCACCTCATATAAGGCTTTGTGCAGCATCGAGGGTGCTATAGGATACACCTCGTATAAGGCTTTGTGCAGCATCGAGCGTGTTATAGGATACACCTCGTGTAAGGCTTTGTGCAGCGTCGAGTGTGTATTAGGTAGCACCACGCATAAGGCTTTGTGCAGCATCGAGGGTGCTAAAGGATACACCTCGTATAAGGCTTTGTGCAGCATCGAGTGTGTTATAAGATACACCTCGTGTAAGGCTTTGTGCAGCATCGAGTGTGTTATAAGATACACCTCGTGTAAGGCTTTGTGCAGCATCGAGTGTGTTATAAGATACATCTCGTGTAAGGCTTTGTGCAGCATCGAGTGTGTTATAAGATACACCTCGTGTAAGGCTTTGTGCAGCATCGAGTGTGTTATAAGATACACCTCGTGTAAGGCTTTGTGCAGCATCGAGTGTGTTATAAGATACATCTCGTGTAAGGCTCTGTGTAGCGTAAAGTGTGTTATAGGTTACCTCTCGTATAAAGCTTTGTGTGGCTTCTATGTATACAAGCTTAGATCAGATTTAAATTAGTCCTTGTGAGGCAACGTGATCCTACTTCCAAAAATAAAATGCTTACCACTAACTTATGGTTCACAGGTTGTGAAGAGTCACTGTTGACTCGTCTCCGAGCAATAGCCCTGAGAATACTTTCAGCCTGGACAGAGCGCATAAGATTAGCAGTCGGACCAGACGACGCGCCGTGACCAGAAAGCATCGGGGACGATGCTCCGTCAGGAGAGGCCGTGTTAGGTGTAACTTCCTGTGGTGGCGCCACCGTCGTGCGGCGCGTCTATAAAAGGCTGCGAAACCCGGTGTGCGGCCTCTTTTGGTCGATAGACGTGCTCTCGAAAGAATCTCCGTATCATACCGTGTTTGCTTTATAAGTTCTTTTACTGATTATGTTAAAATTAATTATACGATTTGTTATAAGTTTCTTTTATTTAATTAAATTTAGAGGATACTCCTAACAATATATATATTATACCGTTTAGTAACAACATGCTGGTAATAAAAAGATATTTACAAAGACAGTTGTTGTAATAAAAGTGAATGAGTGTGCTACAACAAAACCATTATATACTTACCAGATTGTTGTCACAGTAAAACATGTTTTCGATTATAACGCAAGTCACAGTGAAACTTCTGTTAAGTTATAAAGCCTTTTATCTGAAAAATAAATTTAGTTAACACTAAAAACTTTTGCGTAACTTTCAACTCTAGTACCTAGAATAAATAGCTCAAAGCGTTATTCCTTATAAAGATAGATATCAAAATATATAAAAAAATAAGACTATTTTTTTATATATTTTTAGACCTCAGTGCTATTGCCACAAAATATACTATCATAGAATAGATTGATATCTATCTTTGTAAGGAATAACGCTTTGAGCTATTTATTCTAGGTACTAGAGTTGAAAGTTTCGCAAAAGTTTTTAGTGTTAACTAAATTTATTTTTCAGATAAAAGGCTTTATAACTTAACAGAAGTTTCACTGTGACTTGCGTTTGAACACCTTTGTCTTCATCTATTTTAGTAGCCAAGAGCTTAGTGCTCATACGCTGTGATACGGTTAAAATATGTAAATATATAGCAGTGAAATTAGAGGTTTAACTAATATATATAGTAATATTATCTCTACCGATAGACGTTCTTTTACAAAGCTCACTAGAATGAACTATCGGAAATTATCACTAAAGTAAAAAGTTACTTCGTAAAAACCCAATAACGGGGTTTTATTGTAACATAAAATCATATAATTACTGTTCAAGGACCCATCTGTTTCATAAAAATAAACATACGGTATATAAGCATGTGTGTCTAATCTTGACACAGGTATGAATATTTGTTTTTTCGTTAAGATGTATAGATGTGACATATTACAACAGAACTACGGGATACAGAGAAAATAAGAGTCAGTTCTCAAATTTGTATTTGGAATGGCAAAGAAGCTGATTCATCCTATGTAAATACTATAAAGACTTGTATTTGTACAATAATAATAATAATCTCAGGACAATTCACACAGCACCATCTAGTCCCAAGTTAAGCTATCTAAAGCTTGTGTTACGGATACTAGATAACTGATACATGTACATAGATATTTTTTTTTCGTAAATACATACATAATATCCATAGAAAACACCCAGACCGATTCAAACAATCATACTCATGGATACAAATGTTTGTGCCGCGAGGAATCGAACCCGCGACCATCGGACGTAAAGCGGTATGCTAGACCGCTAGACCACCGAGGTTGTCAATGTAATTGTTTGGCTGAAAGGGAATTTCCTGGGTCGTAAAACTATATAAAAAAAAGTTAATGTCATCCATTGCTTATATAATAGAACAGCACGGCATAATGTGACAACGGATGTACTACTCATGTATTCCAGAGGACTAAGATGCCTCTTAACCTGTAGTTTCTTAGCAGGCGAAACAGATGTACTCAGACACACGACTTTGTAGAAATATATATTTTTTATGTAAATGGAATGCCAAACAAGCTTACCACCTAAGTATATTATCAAAGACATGCAAGAGAGTTATGCCTTATGGAGGCATGACTCCTAGTACTTGCACAGGCGTATCTCAACCTTCCGAATTAAAATGTCTGGTCGGTTAGAACTCTTATAATGCCAGCCTCTCTAAGTCAGTAGATAAATATTTGTAATTCTTATATCAGTTATGAGGTCTTCAGTTAAATATCATATCACCATATTTTCAATCTGCTTCGGAAGAATTCACAGTATTTTAAGATTTCCAACCGATTCTGATATTTTTATTCGAAATGATTTCCGTCCGTTTTGGTCCTTTAATAATTATTCTAAATTTTATTTTAAAATTTAAGTCTGGCGTCAATTCAAGTCTTTGTAATTTTTTATATTCTATTATTGACTACCTGTTACTTTGTTGAAAAGGTCATTTACCTACACTTTATAACCAATACTGTAAAGGGAGACAGACAGAGAGTGGGTTTTGTCATGAGGAAAATAGATTCGAGAAATTCTTTTACTATTCCTAAGGTGATAACATTACTTCAGAATGACATAAGCGAATTATTAGAAATTCATAGCTCTTATGATAAAGTTATGTATATATTCTGGCGAAGCCGAGAAAAGCCACAAGTAATACAAATAAATATTTAATTTCGCATTGATATCTAAAACTTTAAAAAAAATTCTACGTTTTAACAGTTCGAAGTATTTTCGAAATTTCTAAACTGGATTTTTGGTTTCTATAATTTTAAAATAAAGCTTTACATTTTAATTTTTATAAAACTTAAAATGACATTGTTTATACAAACGACGGCCTCGGTGGATTAGTGGTTTAGAATATCATCTTAATTCCGATGTTGCGGATTCGATTCCTCGCACGATGTAAAATTTGTATTCAGGAATATAAATTTTTGTGTTGATATGGGTTGTTTTCTATGATATTATGTATGTACTTGTAACAACAAATCAAGTATATTTCAGTAGGTTAATATAGAGAGAAGCAATATAACACAAGCACTTCTAAGCTTGGGACTTGATGACGCTGAGTGATTATCCAGGGTTATTTTTATAATTAATAAATTTTCATCCTTAATTTAATACCACAGCAGTGGATACATTAATAATATTGATTTTTTAATTCATTAATCTAGAATGGTGTATCTGATTGTGTTACTTGTATACGAATATACTAGCATCATATCTATGAAGCTTGATAGTAGGTAGAGGATAAATGCAGGTGAGGTAATGTTAACTAAATTATTGGACAATTTCCTTAGATGATTTCCAGCCAGTTTCAAGGATGACCTGCATAAACTGTTTACAATAGACCCACTAGGTTTATAATCAACTCCTCTCTGTTTAGGAATTTGTACAGATGGCTTGGAATTAATTGCGTAACAAGATAATTAATTAAAGGCACATACATATAATTAATGACGTTTATTTCAAAGATAACAGTATGTATATGAAATATAAAGTTTTTTGTACTTTTAACAAACCTGGAGAATATTTAACCTTCATTATATATAGTTATGATCTGTTAAACGTAGTTGTAAACCAGATCCAAAACATTATCGTATAACAATTCCTTAACATCTCTTGCGAATATGAAGTCAGCATGGGTAAATTCGTCGTAGGGTACTTTATATACTTTGACCACGTTAGCCAACCGACTTTTTATGGCGTCAACACTTACGGACGGTGTGACTTTATCTTTTGTAGCCCAATATATTGCTACAGGTGAAGTGATTTTGTGTAAAGGATAATCAGGAGGAGTCGGGGACTTATACTTGATTAGGTTTTTTAAGAGGCCGTAATCATATCGACAGAATTTCCCCGACAAAGCCAATTGTCCGTAATGCAATGCAACTTTAGTACCCATACCTGCAGGATAATGCCCAAAAATTACTGGTAACGCTGTAGCATTTATTTGAGTATAATCCGCCCCTGCAAGAAGAAATAATATGTTCCCGCATACTAAAGCAGCTGAGGCAGGCGTGCCGCAAAACGTATCAGTTATATATTGCAATACTGCGTTTCTTGGAAACAGTTCATATGCACCTACTACTTTCACGAGTTCAGTTATCAAAGGATTGGCTGGAGAAAATATTTTAAGTAACGGACTCCCAATGGTGAACGCTACTGCAGATAGGGCTACCATAAGCTTGATTTTACTATTGTATTCCGGTAATAACGAACAGCAGACGAAATACATTGTTGATCCCATTGAATGGCTTATATATATTAATTGCTCCTCTCCAGTTTTATCTAAAATGTAATCGATTTTAGCTGGTACATCGTAGAGACCATGCTCTTCCCAACTGAAGTCCCAAAATTCTGCGCAAGAAGGCGACAGGCTGATGTGACGTCGAGAATGTACGTTTCCTCGAGTGTTACCCATCCATACGTCGTAGCCGGCATCAGCTAACAGGTAAGCGAGTCCACTGTTAGAACCGATAGTCAAGAAATCATCTGAACTGCTGAGCGCGCCGTGCATTAACAGTACTGGAGGTCCATCGTTGGGGATCCGGAACATAGTTAGCAAGTATCCATCGCTAGTTTGCACTTCATGTTGTTCCACAGGATAACCGTATTTTTGTAATAATTGTGTTATGTTTAAATTTTTATCTTCAGTGTTCGATGCGCTTATGTATTCCTGGTATAGATCTCCAATTGTTGCTTCATTAGAATTGAGGACTTTATTTATTTCTTCACCAAATATATTATTAACTACTTTAGCTAGTTTATCTGAAATTACTGCGATGTTGTTCCTTTCAAATAATGTACATTTTTCGCAAAAAATGTTATTTATGAGAAAAAATAATATAAATGTAATACAATTATGTACAAACATGGTCGATGTCAATTGTTTTCTAACACATGTACTACAGGACACTATTACAATAAAAAATACGTATGATTTAAAGTCGAATGCTTTTTGTATGATCCTATATTTGTATTGGCCATGCGTCATGTATTATAATTTTAATTAGGCGATCCGCTCTGCTTCACACTGATAAATAATATGGAATAATAACATTCATTTTATAGAAAGGAAATCCTGTTATATGTTTTATTTATTAAATTACCCTCTGTTTTTTTTTTCAATCTGTTCAGACCAGCATCTCTAGGATGGTTGCTTTGCGGTTTAGCTCAAATTCAAATTCAAATTCAAAATATCTTTATTCATGTAGGTCTATTACAGACTATTATGATATTCGGAACGTTTTCGCGATGAGAAGAACTGACAAAGAAACTCAGCTCGTATTTTTTTTTAATGTTCTACATATTTACAATAATACTATTTCATTTAAATTCAAATTTGGGAGAATAGAGTGACCACCAGCATATGCTATATAAAAAAAACAAAAAAATCTAATCAGTGTTCGCAACCTGAAAAGACCAGTCCCCACAAGCAGCACCCGTTATCGAGTATGACGGATGAGCCAGCCATCATTGCACTCAACCATATTAGAGGGAGCACATCGACCCGGCCCACCACGCCGCCACAAGTTTGAACTTTATAGTGAGCATGACTGTTTCAAGTTTACGTCATTTATATTATTTACAGCATAAACTGTACCAATCACAGTTTTCACCCATTAGAATATTTAAATTACAATATGTCATTCAGCTGTTAACAACTCATTTTTTTAGCCGCTTTACTTCGCGGATTCCATTTCATCAAAATGGTATTAATAACATCGTATGTACTAATCTGGGTTCTTTTCTATACACATTATGTATTTACAAAAATGTATAAAAGTCTGTTTATTAATACACATAGTTATATCTACATACCTAATTTCCGTTAGGATGACGCTGTGTCGATTACGCAGGGCCAGTTTTTTTAATTCCATATATTTTAGACAAAGGCAATAAATCGATAGTATTAAAAGTAAAAAAAGGAAATACTTTGGAGAAGACCAAGAAATAATATGGATATCCAAAAATTAATTTTAATCAAGTATGAAGATTTTAAAAATTATTATCCATCTTTGTGAAAGTTGTAAACCGACATGCATTTAATATTTTTTATATTTGTGATTAATCCTGTATATACCAAAATGGTACAAAAATATTGATTTTATTATGAAATCTTAATGTTTTATACAATTAACCTATGGTTGACGTGAAAATAAATAGTTGTACAGGCTGTGTTTTGCTCAGCGTTTGTTTTGATTTTTTGGTTTATGTCTGAATTAGAGAGATTTCTTTTTTTCCTATTTACACAAATATACAAATATAAGAATCATGTGTATCTATCTCTTCATAGCGCTGACAATATTATCGATTGCACTAAGAATGAGTGCGTGGCGGTTTCTATGTTGATTATCGCATGCCTCTTACTTGTTATTGCGTAATTATTTATTAAAAAAAAACATTTAATCAAAAGAGTAACGCACAAGTTTCTTGATTATTCTTCTTGTAATGAATATCAGAACGCAGTTTATGGTGGTAGAATAAAATTCTAAACTATTCAAAAGACTTGTATTGTGTTTATTTGAATAAAGATTATTTCTATTTCTATTGTTTCTTATCTGAATAAATGATGGGGTAACAAAGAAATAAAATCACATTACATTCTTTAAATAAATATTTATATTAACAATATTGAATATTTACAATAATAATTTTAAGTACAAGATTCTCTTTTTACAATACATTTTCATTATATTATCATAAAAATAAATATTTTTATTTCATTATAATTCGAATAATTAATTTAAATTTAGAAATACGATAAAAAAAAATTAATTTGTTAAATATATTCCTTTATTAAATAATTATTATACTATTAAATATTTACAATAAATGTAGGAGTAATAAAATGTATCAAATAGACCTTATATGTCTTACATACTTATCCATATGTTGACGTAGTAAGAAAGCCATACATTATGTACAAAAATGTCACCACTTTCTACTCATTTGCATATCCAGGATATTTTAAGTCTCCTTGGAGAAAACTTGTTACGCGAAATGGTCTATACAAAAAAGTAGGAAACCTGGAAATTGATATCCGGGAAGAGATATAAGAAAAAAAGTTGGTCTGTACAGATTATAGCTGTTGTATAGCATAAAGTAGTCAAGTGATGGTATGAAGCATGACTGATAGTTTAGGAGCCTTGGAGCAAAGACTTGATAGAAAATTTGAGTGACTGAAGTGATTGCATGGAGTACATGACAGTATAGGTAGTTTTCATCAAGTCCAACATATGGACATCAGTGCTTTCGAAATTTCGTGAAAAAATATACGTCCCTAACCCTACCTCATGGTAAGTATCTTGGGACAGTAGCTGGACAGTACTGGGCGTCATGTCATGACATGTTTGTGCGTATGATTCTGGAGGTTTAAGATGTAGTGCCACTAATATAGGTACTTCTTAGAACGTCGTTTCCTCAGGATCTATCGGAATGAGAGCAAGTCCTCATTTCAAGCTATAGTAGCACAGTACATTCCCAACAGTATAAAGTCAAGGAAAAGCATTTTACTAATCGAAAACACCGCAAAAATGATTGGCGGCCAAAAGATTGTTGTGGTACTTGATGTATCCCCAAAGTTATTTGAACCCGGGACTGGATTAATCAGTTTTTAACCACAATGGGCTATCTGGCCTGATTTCATGACCATCCTATTATAATCTACTAGTGCCACGCCATTATGTGCCGTTAACATAGATGGGGTGGAAAGGGGATTGTTAGTAATGTGAACTGATGATCTTATTGCTAGCAATGTACCATGTTAGGTTGACCTACTCGCGGTTTCCCCTGGAAACCATCGTGATATACTATAATCTTGGTAAATTTGTCATGATGGGCTAAGTAACCTGACTTCATGTACATCCTATCACTCCACTATTGCTCCGCCAGCGTAAACCGCTAGCGCAGGCGGGTCCACCATTCCATTATCATTCATAAAAAAACAAAGGCGAATGTATTATTGGTGTAGTTATTCAAATTCTAAATAATTTATTCACATAGGACCTTTCAACCTCTTTGAAAACGTCATATATTTTATTACTATACATACCGTATTATACATATATTTGTACATGTATAATTAGATAAAAATCGCGGGATCTTACCACGTTTTATATTTATTCAGTTCCCGATATTTCCTCATGATCGTGGCGGTTACACTGCCGAAATATCGGGATCCTATGATTTTTACTAATTATACATATAAATAACGACCGCATCAAATTTAAAACTGCATATACATATAATTTTATAATATACTGCGGTAGTAAAGCGTCTGATAGCGATCAGTTATATGTAAGAAATAGCAGTTAATTTATTAATAATATTCTATTCTACCGTCAGGTAACAAAATATAATCCCATATTTAAAAACAATCTAATAGTTTACAGTATTAATAATAAAACATGGAGTATAATGTCTCCATGTTTTATTTTATGAAATTGGATTAGATTAAAGTGACACATGACCTATAAATATTACCCTAATGCGTTGCTATTCCCAAGGACTCAGACCTGATGCCTCTTATCCGGTAATTTAAATCCAGTAAGAAATTTAAGGTAATATGTATGATTCTTTGTAGGTTAGTTTTACTGTAAAAATTTGGACATATTTTAATAAAAATATGCATAAAAATCAACAGGTGTACTGGTTACTAGGCTATATGTATAGTCAGCTCCATAAATATGAAATGATATTGATATTTTTGATTGTAGTCTGCCGAAAATCATAGAAGCCATTCAAATGTATCTAGAATTTTTATAATGTTTATATTATGTAATAAAATATGTTATGTTGTAAATTAATATATATATATATGTATACTGTACTAAGTTGCAACACCGATTTGGATATACTGTAATGGTGTTGTAATATTGAAATAAATAAATAAATAAATATGTTACGTGATAGTTTTTATTTCTATAATAACTTTACTTTTTTATGTTTATGAAGTGTTCTTTTGTCTTGTACATTTCAACCCTAGTTCATTTGCGATGAAATAGTGAAATAAATTCACGTACGAGAAATATATCACTTCTTCATTTTATTTTCAAAAGGAAATGCTTGCTGTGTATATTTTTTTACGACGTGTAAAAAAGTACATAAATAGAGATATTTTTTTTAGGCTTATATAAACTTAGAACGTGTACCGCAAATATATGTATGCATGATCGTAAGATACCTAAAGGTAGAGTTTATGTAATACATGTACAAACGTGTTTAAAACATGATATTTGATGTAATGCTCATGCATTTACTTATTTCTTACATATATACAAGATACTTTATGTGACGTTATATTGTACCTTATACACGTTGCAAAATACTTAATGAATTGAACGAATTACAATTGAAAACAATTTATATAACATAATTATGAAATTGACTGTTGCTATGCAGGTTTTTTCTTAAATGCGATAAATAGTGAAATTCAACCATGTTCTGAAGTAATTTATATTAGATACTTATGGTAGATTTATATTAGATAGCGTAAAGACTAGATAAAGAAAATAAAAAAGGTGTAAAAAGCAGACGAAACCACGGAAAACAATTAGTAAAACGTACCATGAGTGAAATACAATCAAGCGCGATACAGCTGTGTCAATATATTGTAACAGCTGATAATTTAATTTGTTTTTTCCTCCTTATAATTCATTATTTGTGCATGACAAACATGTTTGCTTTAGGTAGCTGTGGGGTCGATAAGCTTCAAGAAAATTTGCACCCGATTTTGTTTATAGGATGCTTTGTATAGAATTGCATAGAAAGCTTATGTATTCTGTCCCTTCCCTTCATGATAGGAGGCTGGGGACGCTCCCATGCGTTGAGGGGGCCACCGCCACCAAAGTCGCAGCAGAATATGCAAGTGATCCTGTGACCCAGACACTATAGCGGCGAGAAGGAACACCATAGTTAAGAATCGGGTTACGAACACGGCATTTGCATTAGCATACGCTGGTGGTCACTCTATTCTCCTAAAATATGAATTTAAAAATGAATCTGTATTATTGTAAATATGTACAATACTTATTTGAAAAGAATACGAACTGAATTTCTTGACAGTTCTTTTCATCTCGAAATTATTCGGAACTGATGACAAATCTACCGTACATATCATAAGACTCTGTAATAGACGTACATGAATAAAGTAATTTTGAATTTAGAATTTTATTTTTGTGTTTGTAGTGATTTTCAGCAGTTAGATGTCCAGCAGGGAGGGTGAGATATAACAGTGAAATAATAGGGTAGATTGACAGCTCAGTCCTCCAGTATGACAACGCATGAGGCGTATTTGGGGCGTCATAAGATGACGTAACATCCGTGGGGCTCTGCATATAGGCGACGGTTACCATTTAGAATCAGATGGGCCATCAGATTTATAGATAGATATTTGTCCAGCTGAATAAAAAAAAGAGAAAAAATAATCAGATCTATTCATATTGAGTAAAATGTAAAATTCGGTGGGAGTTAATCTCAGATTATTTTTATAACTGTTTCCTATTAAGGTGCTGTTGCAATCGTTATTGTTCAATATACGAAATCAGAACATCGTTTTATTCTTGTCTAACTACTAGTATTATATATATATATATATATATATACCTCCCTCTAGAATCACTCTATCTATTTAAAAAAAAGCTTCAAAATCCGTTGCGTAGTTTTAAAGATTTAAGCAAACATAGGGATAGACAGCAACAGCGACTTTGTTTTATACTATGTGATATATATGATATATGATATATCATATGTGTGATAGTTAGGGTCGCATAAATAAAAACATTTATGCATTCGAGCAGTATAAGGTAGCATAAATAACTATAGGATAGCATAAAAACAAGAAGAAGAAATTAATCGTATACACCGCTTGTACATCGTGGTCAATAATTTATTTAAAAACGTTACTATTCAAAGAACTACTCCAACTGCTCCTGTATTCTACATTCAAAGGTTACGAGATCAGAAACTTGCTTTGTTTTCGGCATATCATATGTGTGATAAAATGTTATAGCACAAAAATAAAAAGAAAGGTTCAATCGTACCTACCCATCGTCATACATCGTGATCGATCGATATTTATCTAAGACAATCATTCTTATAACCGTTCCCAATCAAGGTGCTGTTGCAAGTGTTCCTGTAGTGGGCAGGCGTTCTGCATTCGAAGGTTACGAGATCACAAGGTCGTTTTGTTTTAGACGTGGTGAGGTGGGTCAGTGTGGTGAAGTTCTCTCCGATGGGACTAGACGAGCAGCAGAATGCTCGGCGGAATTCTCTGCGAAATTTTCCTGCAAGAATACATGGTCTTATTACATATTAAATATATGAGAAAAACACACAGTACCATCTAGTCCCAAACTTAGGTGAGCTTAAGTTTTGGGTACTAGACAATTGATAGAAATACTTAAATATTTTTTTGGTAAATACATACTTAATTTAGAAAACACACAGATAACAGACAGTATAAAAATGTTTGCGTATTGTAAGAAATAGAACCCACGACCATTTGAATTAAGCAGTGTGGTAAACCGCTAGACCACTTGATCCAATATTCATTTGTAATTTGAAAGCAGCGCTCTTGTCAGTAGAGTTTTTGCCAATTTCCACGATCTTCCATCTAATGTTATATAATTATAAATCACAGCACTAAAAAATAATCATAATTAATAAAGACATAACATATTTTTATAATTACCGCTCATAAAATTGTAAATCAAAGGATTTATGGCAGAGTTGGCGTAACACAACACGTGGGACACTAGAGCGAGGAAGGTGATTGCATCATTCTGTTCCATATCTACAGCGTACCTGCAGAAGAGAATTACTTTGTGGTAAATAGAATAGACAAAAAAGTTTTTTATTGAAATAAACATAAATTTAAACATATTTGAATAGGCCTACTTATTTTTTAATCTATCACTCATTCGTAAAGCTGTATTATCACAAGACGAAGAGCGTGTGCGTGTGGCATTTTAAAATCATTAAGTTACAATGTGTGAATAAACCGGTGGTGGTGTCTACCTGAGAAAATGTACAACCTATATCGAATCTTCATTATTTCCGTGTAACCCTTTCCCGCCATCTATTTTGACGGCGAAAAAGAAAAAAGAAATGGAACGTCTCACTTTTGTTTTATTTGTAGTAAGCGTGACAAAGAATCACAACCATGGTCGAATACTTTGTTTTGACTGTCAAATAAATATAAATTAACTAGCTGTGCTCGTGGCTTCGCACACATGAAATTTATAACCTATGTGTTATTCTGATGTATAAGCTATATTACTGTAAAGTTTCATCAAAACCGCTCCGCCTAAGGTCTGACTTGGCTAGTTTTCATATACGAAATATACTGTAGCCTTCGCAAGTTCTAAACATGTTACTTATCGGTTCCTATTTTATTATTAGTCGTAACTAGCAATCGAAAATAATAATTGGTATATGAGAACTAGCCAAGTCAGACCTTAGGCTACAGTATATTATCCTAAGTTATAAGAAGAAATTATATTATATATTGTTATAAATACATTTCAGGACAGACCATTGAACTTGCCACCCATTTAGATCTCACCTCTTTTGTCATAGAAGTCAACAATCAAGACATATATCATAATATTAAACTCGGCTATTATTTCACATTTATGTTTTTGATGGGATAACAGATCTACTTCATTTGTTCTGTGGTTTACTAAATGTACTTGTACACACTTGGCGAACTCCTCTATACACCTTTGTCTGCGTCTTTATTACTCTCCCCTGTTTCTGCAGCCAAGCAGCTTACTTTGTAATCTGTGTTTCGGTGGCAGCCTTTTCTACAGTCTTATTTGAGACGCTTCATATATATCCTACGCTTAATAAATAATAGTAAATGGCAACCATGATCTATATATAATACATGATACTGTCTATATTACAGCACTATGTGATACCCATATTATCGCTAATAAGTTGCCATTGAAAAATACTAAAGTATTTTGATGCTGTACCCTGTAATTTTACTGTAACAACTCGCTCGTCAAGCGAACTACATCTTTCAAAGCAAGGGGTGACGGGTAAATAGGTGAGCCTGGGTACCTCAGGTACCCTCTTGAGGATGACTTTGTACAAAGTCTACCATGCTAAATATTGGGTATATTTACCGTATTCACATAATAAATTGAAATTGAAAAATCTCCTTAGCATTATTGATTACTATTTGTTTCACGGTTTCTTCTGGGAAGTCCGATGTCGAGTAGGTGTTAAACAAACATGAAATTAGTTGGTACATTAAACAAATACTGACATTGTGGTTAAACAAGCATAGACAAATTTATAATTAAACATTCATTTGACTGTATACATTAACAATAAGGTGATATATCATGTTTAAAAACTTATAAAAAATTACTTTGTCCCATATCACTTATAAACTATCTTTGTATAAATAAAATTTAACTTTGAATTAATATACTTATATATAATATTTCTTTTTAAATTTTCAGTTTCTGATTACAAAAAAAACATATTTTACAATACTAAATGCTGACAACGTGCCCCGACTATGCACGGGGAATCTAACAGTAATAACCCTGGACAATTTACCAAATGTTTATAGATACTAGACACGGATAGATATACTTAAAGACATTTTTTTGTAAATACATACATGATATACATAGAAAACATAAATACAATCAATTATACTCAAGGATAAAAATGCCTAAATTGTGTGGAGAATCGAACCCACGACCATCCGAAGTAAGACAGTATGCTAAACTGTAAGACCACGTTCATAATTTTAGAATAGAAGTGTGCCCCAAGCTCGCTCGTTGAATTAGAAATAGAAATATTAACAATAAAAAATTAACTCCACCCGCACGATGTTTATTTCTTGTTTCTATAATTTTTCTTAAATAAAATACGGGCCATGTAACTCGCCGTAAAAGCAGCTTTCTAAAGGTCAAAGATTTTAAATCAGTAAAGTAATATTTGTTTAAAATTAAATTTCCAAAAAATCTAATCTTTCTTTACATAATTTTTGAAAACGCTAGTCTTCTGTCCCTACGTCGTTATTCTTTTACATAAGATGAGTAAGTAATATCTGCTTTTTAAGGGTTGTATCTATAAATTATAATAATGTACAAACTCATTTCAAAAGAATGAGAGATAAGTTTTTTGTCATTTCTTCTTAGCACGAGTGCTCTCCTGACTGACGGTAGATTTGACTTACCATAAGAGCCTGTAATAGACCCATATAAATTAAGATATTTAGATTTGATTTGACACTGCAATGACTGTATGACATAAATTGGGTATTTATATATTACGAGCTGTCCCGACAACCGTTAAAAACGATATGTTTTCCCGTATAAATTAATATTCCAATAAAAAATAGGGGTTGAAAATTTAGGGTTAAATGTATTTTTTAATGCCATATTATAAAAAAAGTTAAAAAAATAAAACAAAAGTTAGGGGTGCATAACCCTCATCACGTAGGGGTATGAAAAATAGATAGTAGCCGATTCTCAGACTAGCAGGTTATGCATATAAAATTTTCTAAAAATCGGTCAAGCCGTTTCGGATTCGCTTGACGTTTTCGAGGTTTCGGTTCTAACTTTGCGACACAAGAATTGTGTATATAAGATTTTTTTGAAGAAAGTTGAAAATTTATTGTAATTAACTAATTAAATATTAATTATATATCTACAGCGTCGAGCAATACACATACCACGACACTTGAACATATATAACTATGCCACGCCTACATATGCTAATCATTGTGATTATCCAGTTGTTTTATGTGTTTTAAATAATATTTATTTTTCATGTTTATGACGCAGGTTTACATATTTCTTATTGTTTTTTAAATATACAAATTTTATTGAAATGAGGATAAACTCCTTTAGAGGAATATTCTTCTTTCCTCTAAAAGAAGATAAAGAGTTTATTAGCATTGTGGCTTTGTGGATTATTACCCCTGCCATAATTGCCAACTATAAATTAATTTTCTAGAATGGCTACACATTAGTTGTATTATTAGATGTCACATGATATGTGTGACCGTTACCACTTACCATTAGTATATAATATTATATAATAAACAATATTAATACATGTTACGGCTACGAATTAAATTAATTACTTGAGTTATTAACTAATTATGTATATCATTTACATAACTTAATTATACAACTACAACCTAAAATTAAAAAGATTAAAAAATATATTATTAAAAGGGGTCCCTTTAGGCAAAGTTCCGAAGATACTGGCAGCGTTCCCTCTTTGAATAGCTAGACTAATTTTTTGTCCGAGGTAGCTGCCAGCTCTTCGGTCTTCTGTGATGTCGACTAACCTTTTCGTTATTTCTTTGAAAAGACTTATAGCGCTAGGACCTAAGGGTTTCGACACCGAATGGGACAAAATCATATTCAGAGCCTAGACCCCTGTATTTATATTATGTTATTTGTGCCATTAGGTTTGTTAGATAGATGCGAGAAGATAAAAAGCTTTATTTTTTTTACAAATACCTGCCGGGTTTTGTCTGCAGCACATATGTATGTAGTTCGATCTTAGTCTGTAGTTTGATGTTATTACAATCTTATATATAAAATTCTCGTGTCACAGTTTTCGTTCCCATACTCCTCCGAAACAGCTTAACCGATTCTCATGAAATTTTGTGAGCGTATTGAGTAGGTCTGAGAATCGGCCAACATCTATTTTTCATCCCCCTAAATGTTAGGGGTAGTCCACCCCTAAATTTTTATTTTTATTTTAAGGCAAAACAACGTTTGCCGGGACAGCTAGTATACATATAAAAATACGATATTTCGAAATAATATTTATATATTCGTACGAAGACGAAAACTATCTTTACCATCATGCATTACAAATGTATAAATTACTTGGCGTTTTTGTACCGTAACATGCAAGTATTATACATATAAACCTTTCTCTTGAATCTCTCTATATATAAAACTGCATTAAAATCCGTTGCATAGTTTATGAGATTTAAGCGAATAGACAACGGAAGCGACTTCACTATATACTATCTAATGTAGATGTAATATAGGTATGTATGGGACACAGTTATCTAGACACATCAAAATAATAATTGCATTTAATAATGTCTAGTAAGACAAATTCAATATTGTTTTTATTACTAAGCAGTGCTGTGTCTAAACAGTGTCACCCCACCTTACATTTTCCTACTGTTATTTAGTATATAAGATCATTATTTCTATGTACATATTGTCAGTCTATTATCAACTGTAATACACATCGTTACAACCAACAACATCGTACTATATACCCGTATAATATACATATATATTTATATAGTACTTACTACTATAATACGAAAATAGTAATCAAAAACTCGTTAAGTTTCTACATTACATTTAGTTCTAAGGTATTAGTCAAATAATTGGGATGTTTAAAAATAATCACAATTTAGTTAATTCGCGAAGTGTATTTTTATGTTGAACAAACGTCAACTACATGTCACTTGTTACGAATCAATTAGCAATTCATTGCTATATTTATATTCCATACTGTTATCAAATATAACTTGTTCCTTATTTGTTTGATTTATTGTAAATAAGTTCTGTGTATTAATTTATATTACGTTAATTTTACTAGCAGATCCGGCCATGCGTTGCCGTGGCTAAGGTTAAATAATATTCCGACTTAAATTTGAGATATACCTACCCTATCTTTCAAGTTGGATCAAATTGCACACAATGCGCAAATCAATTTACCATCGGTAGTCGGTATCAGTAGTAGTAGAGTCCATCGCGGACAAATAACGTGACACGTAATTTTTATACATAAAGATTTAATAAACTAAACTGCCGTTTAGTATCTATGCACTCCATAAAGTTGGTTGGTGATGAATCCTAATAGCATTTTTTTTGGTTGACAATGGAATGATGCACCCGCCTGCGCTAACGGTTTACGCTGGTGGATCGCCAGTGGAGGGTGATAACCATAAAAGCCAGGTCAGTTAGCCCATCGTGGTAAATACATACAAAATTATCGTTTCCAAGAGGAATCGCGTAGAGGTCAACCTGACATGGTACGTAGCTAACAAAGTAGTTGTTAGTCCATATCGTTAACAACCCCCTTTCTCCTTCCTAACAACATTAAGCTAATCTATTATACAGTTGAAATAAATAAATAAGTGATATAATTAATACATGAACAGAATTAGTCAGGATTAATCAGTAAAGGGCATACAAAGCCGAAAGTAATAAAATATTAATGAATAATGCTTGAAATAAACTTAATTTCATAAAGTTTTATTAATAAACAATATTTTGTTATATTATGCAAGTATATCTGTAACGAACTTAGCTAAAAGTCTAAAGTATTCATTAAAATAAACTGAATATCTTTCTCAATAAAGTAAAGTTGAAAATCTTATTAATATTATAAACGCGAAAGTTTATGAGTATGGATGGACAGATGGATCATCCATCCATCTGTCCATCCATACTCATAAACTTAAATTTACAAATAATAATAATAAACGATAATTTACAAATAAAATAATCTTGGAAATTCAAAGTCTAGCCGCAAGACTTTTAATTCCAAAGATTATTCTATTTATTCATGAATAATGTACATTGTATTTGAATGTTCATATCATTATCATCATTTCAGCCCGGAAGACGTCCACTGCGGAACAAAGGCCTCCCCCAAAGATCTCCACTAAGATGCGCTTCTCGAATATTGATATGATGGTTGATATATGATATAAAACTTTGTCAACCTTTAGTAATCATTAAACCGAACTGTCCCAAAGACGATGGACGTAGAAAATTGAAAATAGTAACGGGATCGGTTTTGCGGTTTAGCAAATCTCTTTGCTGCCAATAGCCGTGGTTTCGATTGCTCCCACTATGCAATCATATGTATCCATGAGTACGATTGCTTGTATTAATCTGGGTTGTTTTCTATGTGTATTTAAATATATGCATAATATACATAGGAAACATACAGTTCGATCATCCTGGTCCTAAAAATAAATGTTTTTACTGTGAATTGAATAAATACAGAACCTACGACCATCGGAAGCAAGCCGTGGTGCTAAACCGCTAGACCAACGAGGTTGTTAACTTGGATCTCTGATAGGTATAACTTTTACAACCTAAACTATAGGTATTTATTACTTTACTATATTCTAAATATATATTACTCAAAGGTGACTGATGTAGTGATCTATCAACGCACAGCCCAAACCACTAGACGGATCGGGCTGAAATTTGGCATGCAGGTAAATGTTATGACGTAGGCATCCGCTAAGGAAAGATTTTGATTAATTCAACCCTCTAGGGGATAAAATAGTGGATGAAAGTTTGTATGAAACTTTGTCAATTTTAACCGATCGGGCTGAGACTTTGCATGTATAAAGCTACTATGACGTAGGCATCCCCTAAGAAAAGATTTTCATAAATTCTACCCCTAAGGGGATAAATTAACGAGCGAAGCCGCGGGCAAAAGCTAGATACTATATAAAAATCTGTATAATAATGATACCTGGAGAAGAAAAGTCTTACCTTAGGATGGACAGAAGATGCACAGGAAAATAGCATACAGCGAACATGATGACCACAGCCACAAGCATCTTAGCTGCTTTCCTTCTAGAACGTAGTTGTGCTGCAAAAGAAAAAACTATATCGACTTATTTTCTGTTTATTACTCAGTATACGACTAACTGTTTATTAAAGCACGCTTTGTACAAAGTTGTCAGATTATATCTTCTGTAATTATGCCGCCACACAGTAGTAATTTGTGAATTGTTTTACAGTTAAAGGTTGAGATAGGCAGTGAAATTATAGGGTGTAGAAACCTGACGCTTTCAATCGGAATAGTAATGACGTAAGATGTGTGTATAGATTAGTCTGTACAAGGAAGATTTATGAGTAAAACTATTATTAAATATAATAATAACTAGGTTTGTTACACACTATTTTTTTTTATTCGGTTGTTTGGGCTATTGTCAGATGTTTGTAGCTCCTGTAGCACTGCGACCTACATAGGTCTATTGTGCTCGCCCTTTTTCAAAGTTCGCTACCTAGACCCGTCAGGGACAAGAATTGAAGGATATTCTTAGGAGCGATGGTTTTTATCTCCTCGGGAAAGAGTATAAACTTTTCAAAGGAGATATTTCGTTTATGCATGAGTGGGCTACAACCACATAGGATGTAAAGCGGCGTTTCCTCTTCAGTTTGGCAGAATCTGCAGATTCTTGTCGTGCATAGGCCTAGTTTAGCCATATGCTTGTTTAATTTGCAGTGTCCTGTGAGGGTCCTAGTCATCATGCATATGTAGTTGTTACACACTAGGTCACTTGCTGAGTAGAGTGCGTTTTTTCTTAATTATACCTTGACCGTTCGGAATTTTTTGAGCGAGAAGGTCTTTAACCAGACCTTCTGAAATTTTAGTCTCGATCGGTTCAGCCGTTTCGGATGAGTATCGTTACAAACAGTGCAAATCTGATCTCTAAGATCTCTCCGCGCTTTGCGCTCCTCTCAACTATGAAAAATTAACACGGTACCGTTTGGTCCCAATTTAAGCACAATTTATGTTATGGGTACTAGGTAAGTATTGGAAATTTTAAAATACATACGCAGATTATTCTAGAAGGAATCGAACCCACGACTATACGAAGTGAGGTAGTGGACTAAATCTCTAGACCAATAAGGTCGTATATATACATGAATATATTAATTAGTTTTAACAATTAAAATAACTTATGCAAGGTTACATAATAATATTTTAATTTATAGCTTGTCTACGATTGATTATTTGACAGTAGATATAATAATTCTGTAATTAATAGGCAATTGATGAAACCACAAATAATTAAGCGTGTTTCTCAGCTGATATTGAAGGATTTATTTTAAATGTCTGATGTTTAAAGTACATGCCTAGCTACATATAACAGTATTATAATATTAATTACGATATAATTCAAGTAATAACATTTTAAGATAATTAATACCTGTACTAACAAAGGTATTTGGCTTCAATTTATACCCGTACATATAATATATATATACTATGTATATTCACTGAGGGTGATGTTTTGATTTTATCTGCCCTTCGCTGCACCTTCCCTTATTCCTGGACTGTGCGAGTATATACCGGAATGAATGTAATTATAATACATACAATACGGTATATGATTCTATTTCATAACATATTTTGTTTATATGTATATCTTATTTCTTATTATCTTGAATCTTATTGTTTTCCAAACAAAATTGTTTACTTATACAAATAAAAAAAGAATATATTAATATACTGAATCCAAATATATAGAATTGATTTATATACATTTTTTTATGATATAAGTATATAGAAAATACCAAACCAATACAACACTTATAATTATGAATACAGATGCTTGTATCGTGCAAGGAATCGAATCCACGACCATTGGAAGCTGTGTGTTTAATTATGGCATGAAATATTAATCCTTTGGAATGGTAGTGCTTGAGTGGTATTACAGGTGTTATGTGATAACGTGATATCCATAGTGCTATTCATATATGTAAATAGGTTACGTTTATCACTTAGCGATAGGAGGTTCATCTATTTTTTAAATTACTTAAAATAAAAATAACAATTAGTGTAGTTTATTTTAAGACATCTATAAGTGTTTAGAATTATTTTTAGAAAATATAATATCCTCAAATGGGAACCCAAAGCTTAAAGCATCATAGTCGTGAATGTTTTAATCATGATCAATCTGAGAAAAATGGTGTATCAACAAACGATGTTAAAATCAGAGACAATATTGGAGCCGTGATGGTAAGGGGGCAAAATGCTCTGCTCGCCGGCCATAATGAAGAGTCAGCTTTGATATCACTACACACGTGGCTATCTAGGGAGCAATTAAGGGTGCTTACTTAAGGCCACCACTGGTCTTAAGAGTCGTGTGTAGGCTGTTTAACATAAAAGAAATAGCAAGTGGAATCTATTTCAATCAATTGACGCAAATAGTTTCTAAAGTAAAAATCATTTATTTCATAAACAGTACTAGTCCTTGTAACTTGTTTGCATCTTATAAAAGGAGGGGAAACTCTCAAAAGGCATAAATTTTCCCGGTTTTTGCAATATTTTACTTTGATCTTCTGTTTCTATGACTAATTCCTTTTATGACTATTTCCTTGACAAATGGACTCAATAACACTGAAAGAATATTATAATTCCAATCAGTAAATACTGACTTAAATCATAAACGAATTCAAGATATATTTTAAACTTTACATCTATTGTTTATGTGCAAATGTCAATTTGTCAGGACCAGACAGATTGACCCGATCAATAGCGTGTCATACCGAGCTATACGTAGACTCCCCAAGAAGATCGTCAATAACAAATACCTGAGATATTTTTAAATAAATTTCCAACCGATCACTCATCGTATAGTATATAATATATTGTACAATAGCAAAACCAATACAATACATCATCGCTCATACCATAAAACACGGAGAGAACAAAATATTCAATGTAATCTATGTTCAGTATAAGGCATAGGAGTAAGCGATTACAGTACAAATTAAATTAATTATAAGATCAAGTATTAAGATTATAAATGCTTCCATATGCTAGGGTAGTGTAATTAGATGCTTATTGTCATTAATATATATAAATGATTTGTCCATAAGTTTGGTTGAACTATGTATATTGCTAGCGGATGATATGTGACTTTTAATTCGTGCAACATTAATATGTACGTTAAATTACCTACATAAAATAACCTGATCTGTAATAGTCTAGAAATTCTTTTAATGAAGATTTTATGGCGATACGATACGATAAGTTTGCTTAGTGCGGGGTCCAGTGTATACTTATAATCAGCTTTGTTTATTTGCGCTTTGTTATATTTGTAAATTTAAAATGCATTCATAATTTAAGATCTATGCTCTTGTTGGTGGAGCTCTTGCCACTTTCCGCGATCTCAAGAATTAAAGAGCATGATGGAAGATCGCGTAAAATTTAAAATAAATAACCAAAACAAAATTTTGGATAAAAAGATAAATTAGATAATCAAATGTATATAATTTAATTAATAATTTTCAAAAATTAAAATAATTACTTTTAATCCGTAAAAAGAACATGTCAATATTAACTTCAACTTTAATAATGTCAAAATAGAAACGGCTAATTAATTTACACTATATATATATATATAAATAAATACGCGTACCTACGAATAACAGGTACCACTAGAATTTTTATTACTCTCAATCTTTTTCTTAAAACAATCCGCAATATCTTGACGCTTAGATCACAGAAAAAAATATATATCGCTAGTTTTACAAAAACGATGACGGCAGCTTTCAAAAATTTAAAGGCAGTGACTACACACGGAAATAATTGTGTAATATTTATATATAGATACTACATTGATGTAAGATTGGTCGTATATTCGATTAGAGAGTTATTTATTATATACATTGTACGCAAACCGTCTTATAAGCCAATTGAATCACCCGTACAGTTATAAGCAGTAAATAAGCCCCAAGTAAACACATTTCCTTGATGTTTATATTATTGAAGTTGTTTCTATGAAATTTTCAGTAAAATTGCATGAATATTCGAAATGTTTCATTATAAACACATATCTATCAATACAGACAGTTTCAAATATTGTAGTACGTAATGGTCAATATTATTGTAGAATTCTAAACCAAGGAAATACAATTATAATGCTAACATACAAAAATATTCTGAGATAGAATGAATTTAAAATAATTACAGTCAATTTACAATTGAGAATGTCTTAAATTTTTTAAATTTTGTTGAGAATATTTGCAATACTAAATAGTATAGCTATATACAAGAAACTTACTCTGCTCGGCCGGCGCAAGCTTGATGGTCTCCGCTTGTCCTGGTATCTTCTCAGACTTCCAGAGTACTCTCACTATCTGATAGTAGGCTACCGTCATTAGCATGAGTGGAATGCTGAAACCAAAGTTGTTTTTAGTGTAATTGGTATGGCGAAGAAAGTAGTATGGCAAAGAATGAATAGTCCTGAGATATTATTATTATTAGTTGACGGCTTCTCTGATATTGTGCGGCACCTGGGATTATAGAATTCGTTAACAATAATAATGTTTTTATACAAAAACTTAAATTCCATAATGACGACCTAGTTGGTCTAGCGGTCTAGCACACCGCTTTACGACCGATGGTCGCGGGTTCGATTCCTCGCACGGCACAAACACTTGTATTCATGACTTTGATTGTTTGTATCGGTCTGGGTGTTTTCTATGTATAATATGTATGTATTTACAAAAAAAAAATCTATGTATTTGTATGAGTTGTCTAGTACCCATAACACAAGCTGTAGCTAGCTTAACTTGGGTCTAGATGGCGCTATGTGAATTGTCCTGAGATTATTATTATAGCACTGACAATATTATCTGATTACACTAATAATGAGTGCGTAGCGATTTCTATGTTGACTATCGCATGCGTCTTACTTGTTATACTGTAATTATTTATATAAAAAAACATCTATTAAAAAGAGCAACACACAAGTTTCTTGCTCATTCTTCTTGTGATGAATCTGCATTCCGAATGAGCGGTAGAATCAAAATATGACTATTCAAATGTGCTTGTAATGAGTTTATTTGAATAAATATTATTTCTATTTCTATTTCTATACTCGTACATTACGTAATCCAGAGAACTATATGATGTCCTATAATTTCACTACCTAATCATGATCCTACAAACGAAACGCAGTTTACAAAGCAAGGTGCTTAGTCGTTGAAATAGGTTACATTGAGTTTCCCACGTAGACGACTTTTTACAGTGTAACTCTGTTGAAATATATATAAGAACAATATTGGGACTGAAGGAGTCGTGGTTTATTAAACAGACTTTAATCTGTTTGATACCAAAACCCTTTGTAAAGTTTTAAAATTTGATTGATCCGCCTATTTGCTGTTTCACGATTGAACGTCTGAGCGGATCTTAATGAAATTGTATACGGTATCTTTCAATATGTATTAGTATTGAGGTATATATATTTATCCTTATAATATGTATGTTTATATATACGTGAATATTAAATATAGTATCTAGTTTGCTCACTCCTAGCTTTGCTCTTTATTAAATACTATCTATCAGATTATCTGTGAGATTGCTTTTAGCTATAAGACCGCATTTGAAATTTACATTTTAATTTATATACATATATACATAATACTTCGTTATTTATCATATATACCATAAAGAGTTTTTATTGTTATTACTTTGACGGCTTCGGTGGTCTAAGGGTTTAGCACACCCCCTTACTTGAGATGGTCGCGGGTTCGATTCCTCGCACGGCACAAACATTTGTATTCATGAGTATGATTGTCCTGAGATTATCATCATCATTACATAGTATAAAATAAGTCGCTGTCGCTGTCTGTCCCTATGAATCTTTAAAACTACGCAACGGATTTTGAAGCGGTTTTTTAATAGATAGAGTGATTCTAGAGGAAAGTTTATATATACATAATACGTGTATACCCGGGCGAAGCCCCGCGAGTAGCTAGTAACATTATAATTTATCAAGAAAAGCAGACAAAGTCAGGGGTAATAGCTAACTATAACTGTATTATAAAACGTATTTTAGATGAATGGAAACTGCAATATAAAGTCCTTCATAATACTTACGTGTAAATGAAAACCACTTTGATGACATGCCATATGAGGTCGCTCTGTGATGACCAGGTTGGCATGCATTGCACGAGGTACTCCAGTTCGAATCTCAGTGGCACTGACTTCACTGTTGTCAGCACTACCAATTCTGGAGCATCTATTAACAGTAAGAAATACAAATATGGAAATAATACTGCCACTGACACTAACTAATCAAATAAAATATCTTTATTCATGTAAGTCTATTACAGTCACATATATCCCTCCGATCGAACCCCCATTCGTTCAAACGGCGATCGAAATGACGACGGCCTGAGCCGAGGTTCGAATCCCTATTGGTGCCTCCAAACTAAAGTCGTATCAGTCAGGCGGAAGTTGGCCTTCAGTCGCTCTATAAGACCTTCCGCGGGTTTAAAATGCCATCTGCACTCGTCCCCTATCATCCGGTGAAGCTGTAAAGGCCAGCTGCGGACAACAGCATTAGAATAGTCCGAAAAAAAACAGACATATATAATAAGTCAAATCTACAATCAGTTTGGAGTGCTTGCCTACGCTACGATCCGAGGAGTTAATAAGAAGATCAGCTCTTGATTCTCTTACTTAACGGCCTCGTCCTTTTAGCACACAGCCTTACTACCGATAGTTACGGGTTCGATTACTCGCATGGCACAAACAATTGTATTCATGAGTATGATTGTTTATACGGTTCTGTGTATTTTATATGTATACTGCGTATGTATTTACGAAAAAAATCTACGTATTTGTATTAGTTATCTAGTACCCATAGCTTAAATTTTAACTAGTTTGTGTCTAAATAGCGCTGTGTTAATTGTCCTGATATTATTATTATTTGTTCAATAGACAATACTTACTGAATATAAGGGAATTGGCCCAAATCACTAGTATGGCGGTCTTGGCCCGTCCAGTTGTGGACTTGAACTTGAGCGGGAAGCAGATGGCGTACCAGCGGTCCACCGAAATGAAGGTCAGCGTCAGCACCGACACAGTCACTGACACAGACTGCAACAATAGTGAATATTTCAAAAGATACATTTTAATTTATATTTCTAATTGTTGAGTTTCAAGAGTAACCGTCTGTCATGGTATAAGCATGAAATGCGTAGAAATTAAGATAATGTTTTAAGAAAGATATTACATATAAATGTGGATAGTTTAAATTATTAACCGGGTCTTAACACGAATAATTTTATGGCTAATAAAGGTATTTACCTCTCTCGACGTTTCGACTAGGTAGCACTAGCCGTGGTCACGAGCTGACTTTAAATTAACTAAATGTGAATAGGCTTAAGGGCAGAGGAAGGCTGAAAAAGAGATGGATGGACTGTGTGAAAGATAATATGGTAAGAAAGGGATTAAATCACGAAATGACTGCGAATTAGGATGAATAGAAGAGAAAAACATATTACGCCGATCCCACATAAATGAGATAAGGAAGAAGCAGATAATGATTTCTCATTGATTCAAATTGAGAGACGCCGGTAACCTAGCCCTAGTATATTTGAATCCAACGAGGTATCGTTGGATTCAAATATACTCGATGTCGATGATTAACAATAATAATAAAGATGACAAGTTTAACACCCCATAAAAAGGAGATATATAAAATACATTAATAATAGTAATAATAAATTTATTTCATTCATCAAACTTTTTTACATAGTCTTACATTTCAACATTCGTATTATATTCTTCTTTATATATTATTTTCTTAAGCCGGGGCTGGATCTCCTTGTAAGTATAATTAAATACCTGTTATAGGAGATCACGCTTTCTAGGGTTATTTATTATGCTAAGAATTTGCTTCTACTGTAAATGACGTTTGTGTGTTTGTGTGTATGTGTGTATGTGTATGTGTGTGGGAGGGTGTTGGGTGCGAATGTATGTTTATTAAGATATTATCATTATTGTATATATTACATTGTGACTACATTCCTCAGGACTGCAGTTTCCACTGGAGACAATCGTGATAAATTTCTGGTGAGTATCACGATGGGCCAACTGACCTGACTTCATGCTTATCCTATCATCCTCCACCGGTGCCCTGCCAGCGTAAACCTTTAGCTCAGGCGAGTACACTATTCCATGGTCATCCATTTAAAAAAAGTATATAGCCAAAGATAAATAAAAAGAGTTTTAATATCGGCCATTTATTTTTTAAATCTATCTATTATACAATACACTATTTGGTATGCAAATTGTATAGCATTTTTAATTATTTAAATTTTTAAAAGCCAAAGAATAGTTTAGCCATTCTAGCTTCAAAATGATTAATTTTTACTTAAAAGTTGAAATTTTTACAAATTTTGAATGTCATATTTGCTTATATTTATTCAATAGTCTAAAAATAAGTTTCAGGCTTCTAGAATAAGAAATAACGATATTTCCATACAATCTTCCATCTACCCTTTCAACCCCTTACAAACCTTTTTGCGCATTAAAAAGTAGCTTGGTTAACATAAAAGTCTCTCAGGGATTCTATTATCTGTATACCAAATTTCATTTCAATCGGTTCAGTAGTTTTGGCGTGAAAGCGCGACAAACAGACTTTCACATTCATAATATTAGTACGTAATATTATTTTATCTGTGATATTAAGGATTAGTAAGGATGATCCTGTTTCTGTATAGGTATATATTCATGAATATAATTAAATCTTATTAATATTTTAAACCTAAAAGTATGGATTTATATTTGTTACATTTTCACGCAAAAGATACTGAACGGATTGAAATGAAATTTGGTATATAGATAATAGAATCCCTGAGAGACTTTTATGTTAACCAAGCTACTTTTTAATGCGCAAAAAGGTTTGTAAGGGGTTGAAAGGGTAGATGGAAGATTGTATGGAAATATCATTATTTCTTATTCTAGAAGCCTGAAACTTATTTTTAGACTGTTGAATAAATATAAGCAAATATGACATTCAAAATTTGTAAAAATTTCAACCTTAAAGTAGAAATTAATAATTTTTGAAGCTAGAATGACTAAACTATTCTTTGGCTTTTAAAAATTTAAATAATTAAAAATGCTATACAATATGCATAGTATCCAAATTGTGTATTGTATAATAGATAGATTAAAAAAAATGAAACTTTACAGTAATATAATTTATACATCAGATCAGGCTATAAATTTCACGCAGGTGAAACACAGTTAGAAATCAATAAATGTCGGGGCCTACTTTTAATTTTAAATTAATTTTAATTTAATAAAGCAATAATATTGCGTAAAGGTATTTCATTCAAAATCAAATTAACTGCATGCCATCTTTATTGTTTTTAAATTAGCAAAATATTTGGCTTAAAATGAAATTGCGCAAAGTAAACAGGGCATTGTTTAGTTTCGTTCGGTGTTTATTGTTTGTGGACAGAATTATAGGATCTAATTTATTTAGAGACGTTAAAATTAAAATATGAAGAGCAGCAATTTAAATGATGGAAAAAACGTGTGAAATTGTTGTGGGAAGGTAGTAATCAGAGGTATTGACTTTAGTGTTAGTATTTTATGAGTGATTTCCTAGCGATCCTTTGGAAAGCATCGTATTAAATATGTGGTAAATTCGTCACGATGACAGACTTTGTATTTCTATGTATTGTATTCTATGTGCGTATTAGGTATGCTGTAATTTTATCACATTATTATATAACAATACGATATTTGAGACTTTTTTTCGGACTACTCTAATGTTGTTGGCCGCAGCTGGCCTTTACAGCTTCGTCGGACGATAGGGAACGAGTGCAGATGGCACTCCAAACTCCCGGAAGGACTTATGGCGCGGCTGAAGACCAACTCCCACCTGACGGATACGACTTTAGTCGGAGGGCACCGCTAGAGGTTCGAATCTTGGCTTAGGCCATCGTAATCATCAATCTCTGTTTAAATTGGGAGGGGATCGATCGGACGGGAATATTCAAGACTTTTGGCTTTATATGGGTTGGTTACGCTAACGGTAAAAGATAAATTGAAGAGGAGTAAAAGATGATTAGACAAGAATAGACTTTCTATCAGATTAGTTAGCCCATCGTGGCCAATTCACCAGAAGGTAATGATGGTTTCCTGGTATCACTGCCTGTAATTATATAATTGTCTTTCTATGTAAGAATATAAGTGTGTCTGTCTGACATTTTTACTTTTATAGTATATTCATGAAATAAGTCATGATGAGTAAGTAGTTTGGTTCAATTCTTAAGTATTTTGCTCACATTAGCCGGAATGAACACTGGAGTAGCTAATTATCCAAGGTTCGCTTGAGGGCAGACGTTCTCGAGGTCGATCACCAAAGAGATATACTGACATTATAAGAACGGCAATACAGCAGTCCATTGTACAATGTTCCCGTGCAGCCAAAAACCGTACCGTGTGGAGGCAAATTGCAAGAAGCTCAGTCGCCAAAGATCACAACGATTCCATGCCATGAGATATACCATTATAAAAGTCACGACCACTCTCCCAAGAGTGAACGACTGAAGAAGTCATGATGAGAGATAGTCTTACGAGGGCAGATATAAACCACGTTTTGTTTCTGAAATTAATTTATAACCTGGTGAAATAGAAAATGAAAGACTATCTGTATATACATTACCTTTATAAGACTAAAAGGCTGAATAATTTATAATTAAATTTGATATCAAGATAGACTATATCACGCAAACTGGTATAGGCTATAGTGTATGTCTAAAAAAGACGAAGTCGCGGGACGTATGTTTATCTGTCTTTTAATAACATCTTGATCTTGATTCATCGTACCATTAACTTGTGTTAATGTTCATTTATACAGGAAAAAACTCCGCATTTCAAGAGTACGATTTCATGACAGCATTTCAAACATTACACCTAATGTTGTTTACTAACAAGCTTGGTGATGAATGTGGGGGTAGTGAGAAACATGTTTGAATTGCGGCATAACATTCTATGTCTGTTATTCCTGTCTGGTCCTGTCTACCCCAATAGCCAGACGTAATGTAGGTGTTTACTATGATTTCATTATTGAATCGCAATACGCATTTAGTAAATTTTACTATTATTTGCCAGTGAAACGATTTAATTCACAGTATACATTTCATTAATTTGTTAGAGACTACACCTTAAGCTAATTAGAAACTTCTCTTTCATTCTTTATAAAGATATACTTTTAAGTATATGTATATTTATATATATTATCACTTATATGTATATGATAATTTGTATATTATTACCATTTTAACTTGCTCCCCTATATTTTTCTTTTTTCTTATATATACCTACTCTATCATAAAATTCTCAGGAAGATAATGCTTACCGTAAGAGCGTCTTTTATATTGGTTTATGTTTTACTAGCTACCCACCCCGGCTTCGCACGAGTGTACATGTATTATACATATAAACCTTCCTCTTGAATCACTCTAAATAAACAGCTTCAAAATCCGTTGCGTAGTTTTAAAGATTTAAGCATACATTGGGGCAGACAGCGATAGCGATATTAATAAATAAAATACTATTGAATTTATCATATTAGTTTATATACTCGTAGTAATATCCACATTATATTGTGGATTCTAAGAAATGTCTTTCTATTTCTTTAGTGTTACCAATTTATATAAAAGTCTAAATTTCTTTTATTGAAGATTAGCTGTCGAACTAATTTGATTAAATGATTTTCAACCAATGTCTATTAATAAAAGATGGACGTTTTTGTTCTGGCTGGGGACAAAGGGATATACTTACAAATAAACTAACTAAATAACTGCGAATGAATAGAAGAGACAAACATTATGCCTACCACGAATGGTATAGAATATGGGAAGTGAGGTGAGCTCCGACCACATCAAGGCAAGCCTTAGTGTTTGAAGTATTTAGTAACTAACGATAGGATGTTCAAAATTAATTGTATTCAGGAATACCTCTGTGATACTTGTTACGTACAAGTTGCGGTATGAAGTCAGTGTTACTTATATATTGTAAAATTTTGAATGATTTGGCTAAATTAGATTTTGAGGAAAAATAGCTAAGATTAGAAAAGT